GACGGCCGAGAGGTGGTATATGTACCCTCAATGGCTGAGAGGTACACCCTCGGCCATCGAGAGTGTACTCTCAGCGGCCGAGGGCCGAGGGAAACTACCGGCCGAGGTGTTTTCCCTCGGCCGTCGGGAGTGTACTCCCAGCGGCCGGGAAGATTCCTCCCGGCCGCTTTGGTGGGTCTTTTGTTTCATCGACCCCCAAACCCTGGTTGGTTTTGGAGGATCGACTCCTAAACCAACCGGGGGATTATTATTTTTTTTATTATTTTTTTTGGGAGCATCGACTCCCAAACCAGTCGAAGGTTTTGGGGGTTCGACTCCCAAAAGTCGGGGATTCCGGGGCTTGGGAGTCGGCTCTCCACTTTTTGGGAGTCGTTTAACCAAGCCCCTTTTTTTATTAAAATTAGTGGTTTTTCGACTCCCAAACCCGCTGACGGGTTTGGGGGATCGACTCCCATTCCTTGGGGATTTCGGTGGAAATTCCGGGGGTTTCGGGGTTTGGGAGTTGATCCTCCATATTTTGGGAGTTGATTAGCTAAGACCCTTTTAGAATTTATCCTCCTCAAATTTTTTATATAATCAAAAGTGACCATGACCAAAGGGCCATTTATAAGCCCCAAAATGAAGATTTTCGACACCAGATCTCTCCCCTTGTTTTCAATTTTTATGTAGAAGATATAAAAAATATTATCATTTTTCAGAATTCAATCCTCCTACGGTACTGGTCATGTTTTCTGCAGGTTTTGGAATTGACAGACTTCAGAGAGGTTTTTGCAAGAACCGCGCCAGATTCGATGTGGCAGGTCGGGTAAGGCCCAGGCCTTTGCCGGTCCCCGGGGAAAAAAGAAGGCCCTCTCCCCCGACTATTCGGTCCCGGCCGAACTTCGGGACAGTGGGATTGCCGATTGATCGCGGTCTCCCGTCCGGACGCACGCCCTCCAGCGACAAGTTTAAGGATCCAGAAAGATGCGAGTGAACGAGCAAACTGCGATTATAGGCCCTCGGGTGGTCTTGGTACCCTATCGGTGGGTGGTCAACCTTTGCTTTCATGTCTTGCCATCAGCTATGCTCACATTGACCCCATACATGCCCTCTACAAAAAAATTCCAGCAAGGAACACGTGCCTCAATATCATGAGTGGATGAGCGATCAGGAACTTCGTGAAAGCACCGCTAGCGAACCGCTGAGCCTTCAAGAGGAGTACGAAATGTGCGAACGATGGGCTCTGGATCAAGATAGTAGGTTATTCTAACTACAAACAAACGTCGTAGGAGATGGAGACTGAAATCTTGTATTTATCTTTCTTCGACAACGACAAACAAACACCCGGTGACTTACTGAAAGTCCAGAATTAACTTTTATCATTTTTGCCAGGAATCCCTGTCTTTCGCGTACTTCTGATCAGCCTGCAGGATACAAGTCATATTCCGATTATCTTGGCCAAATGATGTCAGTGAATTGTTAAATTTGAGTAGGCCCCTCTAATTAGGATTGACCGAATGTTTGACCGTTGAAATGGAAGAGGCGATGTCAATCTATTCATATCACCAGACGAATCATCAGATTCCACCGCTGCAGAGACCGCTCAATCGAGTCACATTTATAAGGGCGAGTTGGAAATTATGATCGCATCTGCTCAACATCGTAAACTTGGCCTAGCAACGGAAGCCCTCCAACTATTCATTTCCTACATCCAAATTATTTCATTGCTGCAATCTCACTCACTAGTTGGCTCAACGAGTTACTTTCCGACTCTCAGCTTCTTCTTTGTCAAAATCGCTTTCAGCAATACCATCAGCCAAGGTTTATTTGAAGTTGAGTGAATATCGATCAATTACAGCTAGATTATCCTACCCCTACTCATCTCGAGTTTCTTTAGAGCTCCTTTCTCTTTTCCTTCCATAGTCACTGATATTGTTTTTCGTATGAATTGATTCCGTGGATTTTTTCTTGGGATCCTTGCATGGTTTTTTCTTGTATTCTGAAAAATGGCGCGACATAATTAGAAATTAGGCTTCGAAAAAAAAATTACCAACAAAATTTTTGAAGAGCACGAATACCGCTTGAATTTCTCTGAATCGGCTATTACGATTACAATTGACCGAAAAAACAGTTTGAAGCAGAGTGAGGAAACCGATGAAATCCTCGACGACCAAGCACATCGAGAAATTCGTGTCTATGAAAGCAAGTGGAAGGATAACAATCCAATTCAAATGGCGGTTGTACCATGCCCTATGTAGAAAGCGACAGCTTAGTATTTGCAACCACGCCCATCACTATTGGATCAGTTGAATCCCAATTTATATTAGAACGGAAAATTTAGGTGGCTTTACTAAATCCGTTTGTACAGCAATTCAACCATAGCCTAAACCTATCTTACCTTCACAGGCACTAGTTTTAATCGGGATAGGCGCGATTGTTCCAAGTTCTGATAGTGAAGTCTGAAGATACCAAAAGGTGCTTTGGTGGAGTGTGAGTACCACAAAAATTCATGGCATGTTAACACCAGGGGAAATTCCAGGGCACTGGACTGCCAGTGACTGCAATTCACCAATATTTCATTCAAAGTTGCTCAAAAAATATTTTGGATGGAAACCAAAATTCTCATTAAATTCACAAAGTCAGAAAATGAGTTGACTTTGTTTTTCACTGAAGTAGAAAATCAATTCACTCATAATATAATATGAAGTTCACCTGAATTTCCTGGGGAACTTATTTTTTGATTCACTGGAAATTGTACATTTTTTTTCATGATATGATAATATTAAAGGGCCATCATCAAGAATCACACAATCTGTAGACCCTGTAGAGTTGAATTAGGCCTTGAAGGCCGTTATCCCTCACATGCATCTAGAATTTTTGGCCCTAGATCAACATTGGCAAGGGACACAGATTTGATGTGCAGACCTCCAAATGTAGGAATTACTATCAAAATCTGAGCACCCTACAGATTTATCGTTTCATCTAGGGCCAGATTTCTTCTGAAAAAATATGAATGCTTTAGTTCTTGATCAAAATCTGTGAGGACTTGCAATTTTATAGAAATTCTGCTTATATATTTAGGGACTGTGCCACAGCCCCAATTTTTAGGTGAATTCCCAATTTCCAGGTTGGAAACTGACTCTGCCAGAAATGGTGACCATATACCATGCACACCCAATTTTGCACAGTGCAGGACAGATTTTCAGTGCCAACCCCAAAATGAACTTTGGTTAGTGAAAAATAAAAAGATAAAAAATGGAAATGGAAATTGGCTGAGGTGCTATGGTACAGGCCCTTAGGGTGAAATCATTTTTAAACTTTTTCAAATTTTCTTGCCATCTTCTCACCAAACTGGTAGCATTTGACATGCAGGTTACTCCCAACGGAATTTGTGTCATTTTGAAATCATTTCGAATTCAAAAAAATTCTGCACAGTAGATTTGCATTTTAGTATGGCTGAATTAATGGTTGAGTAACAGATGAGTAGCAACCCAACTTTCACAAGAGTTTCTGTATTTCGAGGGCAGTTTCTTAAGGTTTTTCCACAGTGTGGGGGAATTCCTCCCAGAAAATGATGACTTGTAAGAGTTATGATGTTCAGCCAAGTCCACCATCAACAATGTTTTGGAATGTGGGGCTTCACATCAGTATCTGGTAGGTGGGGCCATATCCTAATGCATTCAGCCACAATTTAGATTTTGTATGTGGATCCACATGTAATTGTTTGATTGGTGGAGCCATAGACCAAATTTTTGATGTGGGAACACAGCTGGGTTTTTTATTTCTGAGTTTGGCTTCTAATCAAATATTACATCAGCTAATTCTTTTAGTTTTCAAACAGCTTTCATCAGGAGGTGGGTGGGTAATTTTAGGCCACTCCATGAAAGCTATATGTTTCTGCATGTCTGTCTCCTTGCAGTGTTCAGTTTGTTCTGTATGTACGGTGTTGAAGGTGATGGGCTGTCTGATTATTGATGTTAATGGTAAGACATGTAGTCAAAGATGGCAAAAATGGCAAAATACATGTTTGCATAGTCTTGTTTTTTGAAACTGGTGAGTTGTGTTGACATTGAAAGGATGTCTTTAAATTGATGGGGTGTATTTAAATTTGTGAGGTGTGTATTCAAACATTATAAAATCTATGTTTGTGTAATTTTGAAATGGGTAAGATTTGCTTAGTTGAGATTGTAAAATATGTAGATTTGTAGTCTGAAGTTGAGCTGTTCAATGATTCAATTTTGTTGTTTTTGAATCAATGTTGGTGCAATGTGTAAATTTTTGGTGAGGTGTGTTGTTTTGAAGTTGGTGAGTTGTGTTGTTTTGAAGTTCATGGGGTGTGTTTTTTTGAAGTTGGTGAGGTGTGTTGTTTTGAATTTCTTGAGGTGTGTTGTTTTGAAATTGGTGAGGTGTGTTGTTTTGAAGTTGGTGAGGTGTGTTGTTTTGAAGTTCATGAGGTGTGTTGTTTTGAAGTTGGTGAGTTGTGTTGTTTTGAATTTCTTGAGGTGTGTTGTTTTGAAATTGGTGAGGTGTGTTGTTTTGAAGTTGGTGGGGTGTCTAACTTATCACAAGTCCCTTGCCTGCAGTCGGTTTTTCTGCGCGCGAAGCGCGCCCTCCCGCAGGGAGGGACTTGCGTACAAAGTCAAAATTTGGGCTGGCACAGGAAATCAAAATGGCTGGAGTGAAATTTGTTAAGGCCCTGGCTCCTTATCCTAATCCTCTACAAGCCTGGCTCAGAGCCAGATTGTACTTTTGGGTCCCAGCTTTCATTTGAAGGTGGTCTCATCCCTTCATTTGCCCTGGTTCCCCTTCTACATTTTTTTGAAAAATGATTTTTCCTCAAAAACCCAAAACAACAATTGACCAAGATCAACAAGGAAATCAAACTTAGAGTCCCAAATGCTCATTGAGATGATTGAAAAACTGTCTATTCATAATTTCTGTCAAGTAAGTGGTTTTTTTAGAAAAAATATTATGTGGTATTAGGCTTTCCTGTCCCAGCCAAATTTTTGCCTTGACTCATAAGCCTCTCCTACGGAGAGCGTCCCGCGGGGACGCCCCGGGAGAGGCTTTGTTAAGCTAGGTGGGGTGTGCGGTTTTGAAGTTGGCATGGTGAGGTGTGGATGTGTCTGATGTCTGTTTGAATGCACACAGACATGTGGATGGCTCATTGTCGTGTCCTTTTGCACGCAATCAGACATGACCTGACCGTCCCAGGGTCACCTAGGGGTCCAAGAGTCACATCCATGTCCATGAGACACACATGTCACCAACTTCTGAACAACACACCTCATGTCCGTTTGCATGCAAATGGACATGGAACACATCCACACCTCATGACACCTCATGGCCATTTGCATGCAAAGGGACATCAGACACATCAATGCCTCACTACAACTCATGTCTTTTTGCATTCAAACGGACATCAGCCACACATCCACACCTCACCTGATGTCTGTTTGCATTCAAAGTTGTGTGATGTCTTTTTTGCATGCAAATGGGCATGGTGTAGTGAGGTGTGGATGTGTCTGATGTCCATTTGCATTCAAACGGACATGAGGTGTAGTGGGGCATTGATGTGTCTGATGTCCGTTTGCATGCAAACGGACATGAGGTGTAGTGAGGTGGGGATGTGTCTGATGTCTGTAGTCATGCAAACGGACATGAGGTGTCATGAGGTGTGGATGTGTTCCGAGGTGTGTTGTTTGGAAGTTGGTGACATGTGTATCCCATGGACATGGATGTGACTCTTGGACCCCTAGGTGACCCTGGGAGGGTCAGGTCATGTCTGATTGCGTGCAAAAGGACACAACCATGAGCCATCCACATGTCCGTGTGCATGCAAACAGACATCAGACACATCCACACCTCACCATCCCAACTTCAAAACCGCACACCTCACCAACTTCAAAACAACACATCTCACCAATTTCAAAACAACACACCTCAAGAAATTCAAAACAACACAACTCGCCAACTTCAAAAAAACACACCTCATGAACTTCAAAACAACACACCTCACCAACTTCAAAACAACATGACTCACCAAAAATTTACACATTGCACCAACATTGATTCAAAAACAACAAAATTGAATCATTGAACAGCTCAACTTCAGACTATAAATCTACATATTTTACAATCTCAACTAAGCAAACCTTACCCATTCAAAAATTACACCTCACTACTGTTTGCACCAAAACAGACATTGAAGGCATCCACACCTCACCAATTTCAAAACAAGACACCTCAAAAAATTAAAAGCAATACACCTCACCAACTTCAAATGCACCTCACCAAATAATTAAAACTTTGGAACTACATTTTTGTGTGTATTTTTTGATATTCATTTTTAAGACCTATTCTGCACCACTTGACCAAGTCTCATGACTTCAATTTTGTGTTTTGGAGCTCTGGAATCCAAAATGAGCAGCCACTTTTCACTTTCTACCCACTGTACTTGAACAAGGAAAGACATAATTCAATAAATAAACAGCATTTCTGTGGTTCTTTACCTATAGGGCATTGATAAATTTTTGTACTTCAAGTTGATCCTATTCAGACCTTTTGCAATATTTTGAAAGATTCATGTTCCATTACAATTCTTTTAATGAATTTTTGTAACAAAGTTTATTTTGAAAATCAACAAAAAAACATTTTCAGGCACTGAATTGAAAGGATATGCATCAATATCAAACTGGTCATTAAATTTAAATAATCAATAAACTGTTACATTTAATTGTGTCACCCTCAAATTATTTTTTCCCAGCTTCTAGCAACATCAGAAATTTGAGTCATAAATTTACCATAGTTTATGTGTCTGATTGTGGTTAACACCAGGGTACTTACCAAAATTCATCACCCCTTGCACATGAGTAAAAATATAGAGACTTGAAATTTTTACAAAGTTGAAGTGTTTCTGTGAAACTCTAGATCTATTTCTGAAAATTTTACATTAGAGATGATCTCCGGGTATCCACTGGCAGATACCCACCAGCGGATGCCCCCTTTCCCTTGAATTCCCTGTGGATATCCGGGCATCCCCAAGGATACCTGAGGCCGGAAGGAGGAGATGGCCGGCTAGAAGGAAATCCTTCCAGCCGGCTGCCTCACCGCTGATTTAATGGGCGGGTATCCGTGGATACCCGCTCAGATACCCTCTGCGGCTGATGGATACCCGCCAGCGGGTGTGGATGGCAATTTCCCCGGAAAAAGCAGCCAGATATTTGTATACACGCGGATATCCGGATGTGCCATGGCCATCTCTATTTTACATAGAAGTGCCTGATTCAATTTGATTGTAATTCAATTCTGATTCAGTCATTTTAGAAAAAAACTGCTGATGCCATTCAAATTATCATATATTCTGGTGTTTCTCACAGTTTCATCAGCAAACACAGGGGAAAGCCATGTGCCAAGATCAGGGAAAGTTGGAGGAAGTTGAAAATCTTTCTTTGGAAATTGAAAATAAATTCAGTGTAACACCCAGTGAATTTGAAATGAAATTTATAATTATTTCAAGGTACTTCTAGTGATTTTAATTTCTTTTTTTGAATATTTTGAGGTGACTGAGTTGAGACTTAAAGTCACTGGCTTGCCAGTGCCTTGGAATTTCCCCTGGTGTAAGATGTGCTAAGACATTAGCACTCCAATCTTTGGGGATTGTTAGACACATCCTCAACAGGCCATACACCCGCAAAAAGGTACATGCAGGCAAACACCCGAACCAAATTTGCATGTTTGGCTGCATGCCCGTCAACGTGCACGGATCTGGTGTCACCCGTAGGACCCACAAGGGTGGACAGCCATCGTTTTACGAGTGCAAGCTCGGGAATAATATGAAGGTTGAGTCAGTCTCAGTAGTAAGACCTAGACTTGAGCAACATGAAGTGATCCATGAATTAGATAAAAAATTGTCTATAATTGCAACATTGCCTGTTTCAAATATTGGGTATCAGAAGCTGATCTTCAGAAATACAGCTAACAAATCAAATAAATTAATATAATGTAATCTGCTTGAAGAAAATTGAAAGGGCGAGGGTCGAAAAAAGGTAACTATGCAGTACCTCTTCCTACTTAACTAATTATATACAACTAAACGATAAAATGTGTGTTCTGGTAAAAAGATCATTGCAAAACTTGAGGGCATACGAGCAAATCACCGAAAGCGTGTGTCCACTGACGAAAAGGATAAAACAAGGTTAATCCGACCGCGAAATCGTCGTCGGTTGTTGAATCAATTGAAGCTTGGCTGCTCGCTATTGAGATGAAAGGAAAGCTATTGGATTTCAGGCATATCCTTTCGGTTCCCAAATCCGATACTCTTATTATTGCCATCACGCTTGAGTGCGATGTAGTGATTCTGTAAGTGTAGCAAATGTTACAAATGAGTGTAGATCTGGGGGAATAATGCTGCCAAGGGTATTTAAGAGAGGTTATTCACCTTGATAAATGTACCCCCGAGTACAAAGAAACCGTCAGCTCCTGCCTGTATACCACTGTAGCACATTTTCGTGCGACCATCACCAGCGAGGGAGTTTGCTTCGTTTGATGGGATCGCTTGGTACGCCAAATCAGTGACAGGTATACCGAATTTCTGTGAGCCAGCTCCAAGCTCGACGAATATGTTTGGAGGAGTCGCATAAGCTTTCGTAAATGCTCCGCGAAGGGTCGCTCTTCGTTGTGGCCTCATGAAACCCGAGAATATAGACGCAAAAGTTGGTCTTTTCGCGGCCGCAGGAGTAGCTACCGAACAGGGCAAACGCCAGATGCCATTCGAAGAATCCATTACTGCACCAGGTATCCTCAAATGAATGCCGGCGGCAGCCTTGTCTGAGACAAGCATCAATGAAGTCTTACGGATTCTCGACGAAATCAAATGTTGGAATTAGTTCAGGTTCATTTGTGTGTACATTGGAATTCAGCATGAGTTGCGTACACCGGTATCAACTATGGCTCGAGGTGGATCATCAGACGCCATAACGTTAGTACCATCGACAAACACTCCGGAGAGATCAGTACCCCTAGCAAAGTTTTACCATCAGAATTCACGCGATGTCCGTTTGCGTAGTTTGGAGGCATGTGAAGCGGCGTACCAAAAATTCTGACTGCTAACATTCTTCCACAAAAGCTGGGATGAGCCACCTCTGATAAATTGGTCGTTGACCTTCCCGAATGAGAACTCGCCGCTTGAATTTGTTGATGCTTTCGTCAGTGCAATGCCGATGACCGGCTGAGAGATAACTTTATTCTTCAACAGTTGAGTGAATACGCCCTGGTTATTGGGTGGTGGGAATGATGAAAGCGCATCAGGACCCATCCCCATCAAGCCGTCAACTCCCAGGGACTGCCAATAGCCGGAAACGTCAGTCGCCAGACCGAATAATTGGTGAGGTATAGTAACGCCGGCCCCAAAGCTCAGACTATCTTGAGCTAAGTAGCCATTAACTCCTCCACCATCAGCGTATTGTGCATTGAACGAAATGTTTACTAGGGGAGTGAATGTGCTGGATTGTGCGTAGAGGAACGCGCTGTGGGTGCTGAGTGCGCATGTTGAACATTTTGGATCAAACACGAAAAAATCGGCCGAGCCAGTGTCCACGTTGACTCTCAAAGGCTGCGATGACGATCCCAAGTTCACTGTCGTGGACCACTGTTATATTTACAAGGAACCAGATGAGCGAAGCCAAATTATCCCAATGAGGTAATTCAAGTGTGCAAAGATCAGCTTCTGCATTATGCGAACACGATATGGCATTCCCGCTTACCAAAAGGTCTCCTTGCAAGCTATCAGTTTTAACCGTCGAAGTTCCCCACGAAGAGTCTTGAGCGAGTTCATCCTTTCCGGGAAAATGCCCACTGATGACATCGGACGTTGATACGACAGGGCTCATTACCAGCTTGGTGCCTGACTCAATGGTTCCGAGGGCCGAAGGGAATAATTGAAGCAACCGTGAAAATAATTGTTTCTTGAGACCCCGTTTGGTCTTGGATTTCTTTTTGGCTAGATATTCCACCGACAAAGCCTGCATCTGCGGTGGAAGATTGGACTGTACATAGGGACCCATGTCTGAGGTTGCCCTGTCGCTGTTCAAGAAGCCAAAAAAACCATAGCGAGCAATGCCATGTCCCAGAACTTGTTTGAAATTTCCAGTCGGAGCCTGATAGAATATTGGAGTTCGAACAATACTACGAAGATAAGGAGAAGATTGTAAGATACAAGCGTCGGATCTACGGATATTCTTGTTCTTCTTGCTGACTCAGCTGGTCAGTCGATACATACCTCATGTTGACTGTGAAGCAGCTTTCAGGTGGATTAAATGAATGACGGGGGATTTCAATCAAAAGGTCGCCCTCGAGATTGACAGAGTAGTTTCGCAATGGGAATTAGTTGGAATAAAGCTTTCTGAGCTGAATGTCGGTGACGGTGGATTGGATGAGAGTAAAAAACAAGTTTGAGTCCTTGAAAACTGCTATTGATTGTAAATAAATAAAATAAGCCAAAGGACCAGGATGTAGGAGCCGACCAATCTGATAGGGGCAAACCTGTATGTCTTGTGCGATATATAGGCCTTATAGGAGATTTGCCGTTAGAACTGTCACAAATGTAGCGGCGTAGAAGATGAGGGATGGAACCCGGGCCACCGCATCAACGTTGATCTACTTTTGTGCTTGCTTGTGGGCAAGACCCGTGGGGCTCCGTCGCGGGTCCTTGGAGGCTTTGACACTCTTGTTCTATCAGGTAGGCACAGGCTGCACTCTTTCTCTTCGGACATGGGTCAGTGCCTGTGCCCAAAGCCTCAGTTCCCCACAGGTCGATCGATCGGCTCAAAAGGGTTCGAAAAGTCTAGCGTGGACCTTATCGAGATTTCAAAGAGTTGCATTCCACGAGTGTAAAAAAACCATAGCCAAAATTGTTTATCTAGATACGTATAACAACTGTCTCTAAGCTTTGAGTTATCTAGAAAGCTTGGACATGTTACGCCTGATATCAATGTGCTACAAGTAGCGATTTTTTTTTCTTTTCTTTCCAAAATTTTTTCTCTTTGCGCGTGATACATAATTGTCGTTGCTGTCAAAATGGGGCCATGTGCAGCCGCTCTGGTATGTGGTATTCTGAGTTGTGACTGGCCCACTACACCTCAACATGGTCATCGCGTTAGCACAAGTCCTACTAACCCCTCACAATTACAAAATCCTGGACGCCCGTAATTCACCCTCCTGATCGAATTCAACTTTTGTGGGCTGCTTGCAGTGACTGATAATCAAGGAAGTGACAAGGGCCCAATATCTGTGCATTTGGCAAGACATCGCTCCACGCCTAAATTGCTAAGCAGGTGTAAATAAATTTGGTTCTCATGTAAAACTACGTATCCACCACGCTCCTGGTCGTGATGTGGCGAAATCTTGTCATGCGGCTGCTACTGGTGAAACACTTGGGTGGCTGGGGGGAGAGAATCGATCTCCCATTAATTCCCAACAATCTTAAAACCGATTTCAAAGAAATCTTAACAACACATCTCGTGGGGGCTCGGAGTGGCGAGGCAGAAGGAGCCTCGTTACCTCCATATGATCCCCCATGATGGGGGCAGTCACGCGTGGTCTGTCTCAGAGGCCTACGGCAGCAAAAAGAAATGAGCATGGCCGTGAACACCTCATCTTCCTGGGCCCGTATTGCACCTTTTCTAAGTTTCTTATTTTTTTAAGGGAGGAACCGAGCTTTCGCCAAAAAGTGTTTAGTGGAACACAAGGTGAAATGGGCTGTCACTAGTGAGAACAAGAAGTTGTGGTTGTAATTCAATGAGGGAAGAACGCTCCTGAGTCAATCCGGTATAGAGCAAGCTCAACTAGGCCTGCACTGGCATAACTTGACAAATTAAGACTATCTTCCTGTGGTCCCTAAAGTCTCAAATAAAAAGATATAATTTATGTATTTTTTTATGAAAAATAAAATCAAAGACTTAGTTTCCACTCACACTCAGATAGCCGGTGTGCACAACACAACACAACACAAAACACAAAACAAACAACGGTAGAATAAACCAACATTCTAAGATGTCTTAGGACAAAGAAAACAGACAAGAGTGTCTACTGAGTAGGTGATTTGAAAAATATAAGTAAGAAAGATAGAAATGAAATAAATATGAGAAAGTGATATAAAGATAAGATAATAAGAAGAAATGAAATGATAAGAAGAAATGAAATAATAAGAAGAAATGAAATAACAGGAGGAAATGGAAAATTATAAGAGGAAATGAAATAAATAATAGGAAATGAAAAATAATAAGAGGATTGAAATAGCAAAATGAAACAAAAACATGATGAAACAATAATATAATGAAGCCATCAGACTGGGAGGAGATTTGAGGTGATAATATTCAGATATTGCGGCTGGGGAGTGATAATCACACTCCCCCTCCCTGGTGTTAAGTTCATAGTATGTAATAGCTGTCAAAATACATATTTTCAAATATTTGTTCACATTTTTTATACATTCTCACACTTATAAATACATATTTTCTCATCATCACAAACTTGTACATACTTTCATCCTATAAATACCGGTATGTCTATGAAATATATTTTCCTCTTGGGGGAATTTTCTATTCTCATACTAGGGCAGTTCACGTTCCAGCCAAACCTCTGCTGATGCAGCTTAAGGTTTGCTTGCTGATGCACAAACCTGATGAACTTTAAATGTGGGACTTTGAATCCAAAGGGGGACCTCCCACTATACTATTTTGGTTTCCCATAAACCTTAAAACAGCCATTCCAACAAAGTTTTACTGCTGATTTCGAAATCAGCAGTACGTGAACCCCCTTACTATACACATACTCTCGCTATAACAGGTTATGAGCCTGCGCTGGTCTTCTACCAGCTGTAGTCAATCATAAATCCTTGTTAAATATATCTTTTTGTATAACTCAATCAATACATTTAGCTCTTTTCTAGCAGCCAAGTATCTTTTATAAACCTTAGTTTTTATCTGTTCATGGTGCATACTCGGAGAAATACCGACGTACCACTCACCATACCGGATTTCCTAGCTCGCGTAACCCCGCCTAGACAACCATTGACAGGCCGACCTTCTGTCGCCTCAACAATTCCTTTCCCCTCCGACTCTCCACTTTCTTCAATTTCAAGTTCCAGCACCGCCCAATACCGGTCCTTCTCCTACGACATGGCAGGATCCAACAACCCCGACAACTCTGGATCGTCTGGATCCCATAATCCTGCGGTAGAATCCACCTCCGACAACGTTGCTAATGATAAAGGGAAGGCGACCGAAGAGCAAAATCACCCTGTTTTCAATCCCGGGACGGAGGACTTCAAGAATCTTCAAGGAGACATGCTAAGGATGATCTTCGAGAAATTCATTGCTCAAGGGACCCCGTCCTCGTCGCCATTACAGGACCGTCTACGCTGGGGACAACTAGCCAAGGACATCACACCGATACTCGCTCTCAATGGCAGCAAATTTCCCCTTTGGTCGGCTTCACTCCAGCAAACCATTCATCATGTTACGGGAGCAAAGGACTATTTCAAGGATGACCTGACCGACATCGATCCTGCAGCCGCAAATGGGATATTTGTCCTCATCGAACAGTCTGTCGATCCTCTTCTTCGGTCATCTCTGCTAGGTCTTACGGCGTACAAGGCGTACAAAAGCCTTTCTAGTCGATTTGAACGACCGTCATGGTCTCTTCTGGTATCCAGGTGGAACGCGGTCGCGACTCCTACCGATGGTTCCGACTCAATTGCGGCTTTGTATGAGGCGGCCAAAAGGAACTGGGCGGATCTTGAGAAACGTCTAGGTGGTCTGTCTGTCGACAAATTGGCCTCACTATCGTTCTACTCTAGCGTCCCGCGTTACCAGACGCAGCTTGCGAATGCACTGGATCACCGAATGGCGGTTCTTCCCAACATCCCTCTTCCTTCAGATGAGCTCCTAAACCTAGTCTCCAGGTTTGCGCAATCTTCCGACAACGCGGAGGTCAGTGCTATATTGCGTGGTGGCTTCAGAGGAGGAGGATTCCGTCGCGGAGGAAATCGCTCGGGAGGAGGTAATATTTCAGGTCGTGGGGGCGGATCGCCTGGCAATAGTCACAATTCAAGGCCCCAACCAGACTCGTGGGGCAGCAAAAACCTCACCTCGGAAAACCCGTGCACTATGTGCTGGGAATGGGGCCATTGGGCTCCCGACTGCCCCAGAACGAAACAGAAGCTCACGGCTTTGGAGGACCCTCGCATCAAGGACCCTAATGTCAAACTCAAGAAGTCGTCGGTCCTATCCAGTCACTTGGTCCAGACCAGCCATGTGGCATCAATCACATCCACGCCCTCATCTTCTCCTGAGGCACTTATCGATTCAGGCGCATCTCACCATGTAACGTCTAATCGCTCTTTTTTTACTTCCTTGCGGCCTATCAATCTGAAACTGTGTGTTGCGTCAAAAGACGAATTTTGTGTAGATGGGGTTGGAGATGTCATTCTACCAACACCACAGGGACCTTTGCATCTGAAGGATGTTCTGTATTGTCGTCGAATTGCAGGCACCGTCATTTCCCTTGGATACTTCGCGGCGTGGGATGGATCAGTCGAGTTCGATAACTCATTCACCCTTATTCAGGACTCAACTCGTTTTACTAGTTTTCTTCGTCAATATCGTTGTTTCTTACCACTCTCCCCTGCATCATCTGAGGTCTCTTCTATTGTTCATTCTCAATTTACTCCTACTGTCTCCTCTTTGCAATCTGATCTCTGGCACTCCCGTTTGGGCCATCTGGGCATTAGGACCCTTAACAAGACTATATCCAAGGCTTGTACAACTGGTCTCCCTCAAAAGAAGCTCAAGGTCCCTCGAAATCCTTGCGGTAGCTGTTCACTTGCCAAGAGTCAACACCGTCCATTTATATCCGACTCCAGAGGTGCAGCCAGTCAGGTTGGCGATTTCATTGCAGCTGATCTGATGGGCCCTTATCCGGATTTGTTGGAAGGCTCTAAGTATGTTATGGTTATCCAGGATGTTTTCTCTCGTCTGGCTTCTGTGGTTGGATTACCGTCTAAGGCTGCAGCGCCCACCGAGTTGATGAAATGGATCCCCAAATTTGAATTGCAGACAGGCTGTAAGGTCAAGACTGTACGGACCGACAACGCTGGAGAACTCACATCTAAGGCGTTTGAAAAGTCGCTTGCAGATCGTTCAATCACACATGAACTTGCAGTCCCCTATGAACATCATCAAAATGGACAAGTGGAAAGAACCAACAGGACCCTGATGGAAATGACCCGATCGTTCCTTGTACACGCCAAGTTACCAGTTACGCTATGGATGCATGCAATGCGCCAGGTGGCTTGGATTTTTAATCGTCTTGTCCATGCCAATGCTTCCTTGACTCCCTTTGAACTAGTCATGGGACGAACGCCTTCCTTTGAGATGCTTAGGACCTTTGGTTGCCGAGCGTATCTCCATGACATTGAGCATGATAAAAAAATCCGAGCGCGATCATCGGCACTCATACATGTCGGGGTTTCTGATATCTCCAATGGTTGGATGTTATGGGATCCTTCTACAAATAAACTTGTTCGAGGGGCGTCTGTCATCTTCCATGAACACGATTTACCTTCCCAAATGACAACCTCCACCTCTCTCAATCCCCTGTTGAATTCTATCCAATTATCTGACCTTGAGGCGGTTGTGGATTCCATACAACTCACAGGACTAGGGGATTTCACTTTGTTCCAACAACTTGAAATACAGGATGCTGCGATAGACTCAATAGCTTCGGAGGCAAGTGTGCTGTCTGATGCTCCCAACTCTTATAAGGAGGCGATGTCAGCGGACTTGGCTCAGAAGTGGAAAGTGGCTTGTGAGGAGGAGCTCGGTATGATGGCGGATCTCCAAGTATGGGATGTTGTACGACACACGTCTGACATGGAGGTTCTTGGATGCCGCTGGGTTTTTGCAGTCAAACGGTCTCAACTAGGTGACATCCTTCGGTTCAAGGCTCGTTTAGTAGCGCAGGGTTTCAGGCAAATTCTTGGGGTTAATTTTGCGGAGACTTTTGCACCAACCCCGACATTTGCTTCACTCAGATTACTTTTGGCGTTGGCTTCCAAACGGAAGTGGTCAGTCAAGTCTTTCGACGTGAAGTCTGCGTTTTTACACAGTCCGATTGATCATGAAGTTTATGTGCGTCCACCGGAGGGTCTCACTATTCCGGACGGCTGTGTCTTGCGACTCCGAAAAGCCCTCTATGGAACCAAGCAGGCTGGTCGTTGTTGGTGGCTCTATCTGAAACAGCAGCTTTCCACCATTGGTTTTCTACCCAACCCTGAAGATCAATCAACATACACCTTCCATAAGGGAGATGACATTGCATTTCTTTGGATCCATGTTGACGATGGCATTATCACTGCCAGTTCGGTTTCTCTTCTTGATCGCCTTCAGTCGGAACTCTCCTCAATTCTTGAGCTGAAGTGGGATGCAGAACTCGCCAGCATCATAGGCATCCGGGTTAGGGAAGTAGATGGAGGTTTTGCTCTTGATCAACCGATGCTCATCGATAAAATTTTACTCACGGAGTCAACCGCCGTCAAGACAAGGACACCCATAACCTCATCAGACCTTACTTCTAATCCGGCAACCAACATGGACAAGGAGTACCTGTCCCAAATTGGCACCCTACTTTACCTATCTCAGGGAACAAGGCCAGATATCTCCTTTGCCGTTAATTTTCTAGCCCGATTCTCCATGAATCCGGACGAGACCCACTGGAAAGCTCTTCAACACCTCATATCCTATATTCGCTACTCGTCACGCCTCAGTCTTCCCGTTGTTGCTGATCCAAACGTTCCCTTGTCAGAATGTGTGACTACTTTTGTAGATGCAAACTGGGGTGGGGAGGCAGGAAGATCCGTTCATGGATTCTTCACTCTTGCCTGGGGTGCTCCTGTGTCGTGGTCTTCCAAACGGCAGTCATGCATTGCAAGGTCCACCTGCCAAGCGGAGTACATGGCCCTCTCTTTTGGTGCTAAGGATGGTCAATGGATCACTAGCCTTGTTCGTCATATGCTCCCTATTGACCCGCCTATTCTCTTCTCCGACAACCGCTCAGCAATTGCAATCAGTTCTGATTGTGCGACTCGAAAAAATCATCGACACATCGATCGGGAGTTTCATACTATTAATGAACTCCTGTATCTTAACCGGGTGGTAATCAACTGGATCGGGACTGACGAACAACTCGCCGATGTGCTTACCAAGGCATTGGGCTGGCGGAAACTGGAGGAGTTTTTAGTCAAGGTGGGAATGAAGACTTAGCCCTACACTGACATGAATCCTTGGGACTGGCGACTGGATTTTTTCTTCCATCCATCTATTTCCATTCTATTTCTTCTTCGTCCTTTATTCTCTTTATTTTCAATTTATTATTTTCTATTGTCTGTTTCCGCATTTTTCTTGTTATCCTCCGCTTTTCTTGTTCTATTTCTTATGGCATTTTGGGTTTGATTTTTTTTTTTCTTTCTTTTCTCTGTTTCCTCTCTTTTTTCTTAGGTGCTGATGAGGGGGGGAATGTTAAGTTCATAGTATGTAATAGCTGTCAAAATACATATTTTCAAATATTTGTTCACATTTTTTATACATTCTCACACTTATAAATACATATTTTCTCATCATCACAAACTTGTACATACTTTCATCCTATAAATACCGGTATGTCTATGAAATATATTTTCCTCTTGGGGGAATTTTCTATTCTCATACTATACACATACTCTCGCTATAACACCTGGCACACACCAATCCACACTCCCCTCTTTGAGATGAGTGTGGGCCCTCACTCCCCTCTCAGAGATGAGTTTGGGCCCTCACTCCCCTGTTGATTAGCATGCCTGGAGACACCCCAAGGGCTTGCAGGTTACACTCCCCTGCAGATTGATGTGTATCTACACACACAAATCTGCAGGGGATTTCAGATGCACACACCAATTTTGCCCTGGCAAAACAAATATGTATACATGTATACATATTCATTTAGCCCCTGGGATATCCCATAGGACCCAAGCCTGGGTCCTATGGAAAATAACATGGGCTTGGGGTCCTTGAAAAAAAAGAAAAAGGGCTTTAGACTGGGTCACTGCAAAAGGGGTTGTATCAGTTACAACCCCCCAAAATAAGGTTGCCCCAAGGCAACCAATATAAGATTTCTCTCCTTGACCAATTTTATATGAGCCAGGACCACCAATATATTTTTACTTTGTTCTAATGTATTGGTGGGCCCAACCAATAAAAATTGTACAATAAGACCAAACTTACGTCGGTCACCCCCGGTGTGGTGGTCCAAGCTGTTGCGTGCAACAAACCTGCCAAAGCCCCTACCTTATAACCTAAACCACTTACATATATGAATATATTTTTGGAAAATTAGAATCTACATACAATGTTACCCATAGTCACTCACTACAACTCTTAGTTTAGAAGATAATCCAATATAAAAGTCAAAGCCATACCATAACTAACCATTAGTTAGTATTTAATAATAATTTACTGTATATATATAAGATAACTTATTACATCAGCAGGCCTCCACCAGTAGTGCAGATCAGTTATGCAACTCTTGCAGGCATATGTGCAACCATTAGGCCTCCACTTAGCAACTCAATTGGACTTACTCAGACTTTGCATCAATGCATGTGGACAGAAAACATCCACCTGGCAGTGCAAACACTTCATGTGATACTTACATGAAGAGGTGCCATAATTAGTTATTTCTACGGTATATTTAGCTCAACTTATACATTCTTTGCAGGAGGCAGTGCAACCCACAAGGTCACCACCAGAAAAATTACCTCAACTGCATCACCACCAGAAAAAATAACTCAAAAAAGAATATATAAGGAGGCCTCTCCTTCACTAATTCCCCCATCATCACCCAGCCAGTTCATACCCAACTAGCTCAGTGGTCATCAACTTTAAATTCTATTCAACACCAGTAACAACAACAAAAACAACAACAACAACAACACAACCATTTTGTATTGTATTAGTATTACATACTGATCTAGGTCTGATAGAGACTACTACATATCAAGTTTTCTCCATCACAAAGCTATGTCACAAAAATAAAATAAATTTTTATCAGAATTCTTGTGTAGTAAATAGAGGGGCAGGTCTTTCAACCACCCGTAACAGTCATATTACTTAGTTGAGATATCATATATTGCTATTTACCCCTCAAGGAATGCCAACCCATCCCAAAATAATTCTCACATTGGGCAACCTTATCCTCAAGGCCAGGAGGGGTTTCACCTGGCCTTGAGACTCTTTTCTCGGGAAAGTGAGACAAGACAAATACAGTATTTTTGGGTATTCAAATTCTTAGACAATACAAATAAACACCTGATACCATCTTGTCTTGTCTCTGTTTCAGAATTGGTCATAGACCAGATCTTGGGAAGGGATTACTTCCAACAAGCTGGTATATAAACCAGATTTTTTTAAGGCATCCCTTCCAACAAGCTTGCATTCAAACCAGCTTACCAGGAGGAATACCTCCCAAAAAGCTGGTACATAAACTAGCTCATCAAGAGGAACACCTCACAGCAAGCTGGATTATGTTTCAGCTCTTCAGGACAGCAGGAATCCCTCCCAGCAAGCTGGATTATGTACCAGCTTTCCAGGAGCAGTTTCTTCCTACCCTGGCACTACAAACAATACCTATTTTTCCCCAAGGAAAATTCCAATTTGGGTGGTGGAAAATAGGTCATTTCCTGGCACTTTTTTGCAAAATGCCTCAGGATTGAAAATTAGGGGGGAATGATAATGGCACACCCCCCCCCTGGCACAGGCCAATCTGCATGCCACTGGCAGATTGGCATGCAGGCCCACACACCAAAGCAGAATGACGTGCAGGCCCGCTGGCCAATCTCCAGCAAGGTAGATTCATGTGCAGGTCCTAAAAGTAAACCCATATAAATATGGATTTTATGGGTTTAGGACGTGCATTGATAAACACTCCCACCCGCCCACGCCCCGCCCCTCCAAAAGGGGTGGGAAGTAAGACCCGCCCTTCTCTTTGGGTGGGTTTTGCTACACGCCCCTCTGTTTGCTGACATTTGCAACAAGAGGAGTGTGTGGGACAACCCACCCAAAAAAAGGTGGGTTGGGACCACCACAGATTTAGCCGGGCTGACGTAAACAAAACACTCTGGAGTGTTTTGCTTGCATCAGCGCATCAATGACTCTTTCCTCCCGGCCTTCAAGACCTGTACAGTCTTGATGGCCAGGAGAGAATCTCCCAGTTGTCAAGACCTTGCAGTCTTGATGACTGGGAGGAATCCATCCCGGCCATCAATACTGTACAAGTCTCAAAGACCAGATGGAATCCCTCCCAGCCATCAAGACTGTACAAGTCTCAAAGACCAGACGGAATCCCTCCCGGCAACAATGGGCAGCCACACTAAACGGCCCACTAACGTTGGCGTAATGGCCCTCAAAACAGCGCGCCAAACCTGTAGTGTTAGTGCCACTACGCTATGTTACACTGTGCTACAGCCCTTTTAGTGGCAAAAACGGACCAAAAACCACTATAATGCACTGCAGTGCAGCGTAGTGGGCCCTTTTTTGGGGCCCACACGCATAGTGTTAGCGCAGTTGTGGCAGAATTCTGCTGTGCTATGCTAAGTGTTAGCGGAATTCTGCTATGCTAACACTGTTGTTAGTGTAGTGGGCCCACTGTTGCTCCCAGCTATTGAGACTGTAGAAGTCTTGAAGACTGGGAGTGTCAGACACTGAGACACTAGCCCAGGTGTCTACAATAGAATGTAACCCCCTTGGGTTACATAACAATTATTATTATGTGTAATCTTTAAGTTAATAATTATTAAGTAATGTTATCCCTTTTTACATGTATTTTTTATGTTAATAATTATTCTGTAAATTAATAAAGATTCACCTCTTTATTAATTTACCTCTTCCATGAAAATTATAATCAAGTTGAAAAGGATAATTATCTCCTGGGTGTATCCAAGAGATGATTATCCAATTTACCTCTCTTGTGTGTATGTTTATTATGTTTATCTCTCTTATGGTATTTTCTGAAATAAAGGATATTCATCACATGTACATTTAACATGCTCTGAATATCCTGACACTTTCCCCCAAGGAAAAGTGTACCAATAAGGGGACTGCACCGGTCCCAGCAGCAGATTGACCCCTGCTCTGTAATATTTAAGAGGATGGCTCTCCCCCTGAGATTCATCCCCCAGACAATATTACCATACAAACCCAAGTGCCTTACTAGTTATTACAAACAACTTAGTGAGTGGGGTTTTTACAGTAAATTATTGTACCTTAGTTATTACATTTCTCTTTATCTTCTTACTAGCCTTATAAGTTACATATTTAACTTATAAGACTAGTACAAACATCAATTTCCTTATAATCCTTCAGCTCAGGCACTGTGAAGCTCATCCCACAGTTGTCCCTTATTCTTATAAGGAGCTAGCCCCTCCACTGTATTAGTGTTGAGGAGAGGCTTAATTCCACTGGCCCTTTTGGCTAAAGTGTGACCAAACCCATCAACTCTAGGTCACATAAGAGACCAGAGCTGACAACTGGGGGTCTGGCCGGGAAATATTTTTCCGGTGTACCACCCTTATTAAGATTTTTTATTTTTTTCTTCCCTTACAGAAAAAAATTATAAAAGTTATCTGTTGAACTTATTTCCAGATAAAACCTCTTGAATTCTAATCCTAGTTTACCGAACCGCGTAACTGATCTGGGTTTTTCCTTCTGTTCTCAGATCCTTACCCAGGTCTCCCATTGTAACCCTCGATCAGATTTAACCATCTGGTTTATACAGGTGTGTCGAGTCTATCTCTCCCCAACTCATATTCTGGGATACTGTTACCTCATACTGATCGATCCTCTCTATCATTTCCCAGGTCGACGCATTTGAATATCGATCTGCTTCTAGTACCTGATACTTACAAGTGAGTAGCGCGAGGATCTCAGACATTCTTGCCGACTCTGATAAGATCATCTATTTACTTATTTTCTTGACGACCTGTGATCTTTTGTTTCTTGATTGTTGAACAAATAGTGTCTAACACCGATCAAACTAAACCCGCCTCTGTCAAGAGTTATTCGGAAGCCGTCTCGGCCTCTGAAGGTACTCGCTCCGAACCGAGCAAGCAACTTAAGACGACCCCCAAGAGACCGAAAAAGCAGTTCAAGAGCCCAGAAGTCGTACCCTCGGAGTGGGACAGAGACTCAGACTCGTCAGCGAAGAAGGACGGACCTCAAGCTAACTCCGCTCCGGTAACTAAACCCGCTAAGACGACCGCTCCTGTTACTAAACTTGCTAAGACGGTATCTAAAACTAACAAGAGTGCCCACTCGGCTAAAAACGAAAAAAGCGAGCTAAAAAAGAATACTCATCCTGACGGCGCTACGCACGAAGGAGCCGATAAGAAGAAGACTACTAGATCGAACAATCCATTACCTAGTACCGATCCCTTCAAAAGCGACGAGAAGGTCGCTAAGCTTATCGATAAAGATTCAATCAGTCACCTTAGTTTCAAGAGACTCGATAAGGAACCTCTAGCTGAAACCGTCAATAACGCTGCGAACATCCCGAGCGACAAACCACCGAGTGCCAACAACGCCTCTGTTGCGGTAAACCAGCTGTCTGAAGCAGCAAGGACCTTGTTAGACGGTCCCAAGACTTTCAACGAACCGATCAGTCGATCGACTCAGAAAAAGTTAGACAACTACTTCGTTCCGCAAGGCCGAACGGTCCGATCAGTATCATCGCGATCGTCCGACCATCCAGATAGCTCTAATACCTCCTCCTCATCAATCATACAGAGTGACGGTAGCGACCTCGATATAATAACTGGTTAGCTTAAATCCTCCATCCATATTACCTTTTAAGTAATCACCTAACAACTTGTAACTGAAACATGTCTTGTACTAGGAGCCACCGCCCAGCTTTGGTCAAAGCCAAAGACTTTACCGGCGCCCCTAGGGGACGACATTCTGCTAAAATATTGCCCAGCGTATCATCCGCTTCTTCAGGCGGTGAAGCTAAATCAAGAGTACTTCCGTCGAGCGGAGAGGACGAAAGACGAGGACCTGAAAGTAGTAGCTCTCAGATCGGCGTCGGAGCTCCAGACCGATCTACTGCGCTCAATCGGTCAGGAGGAGTTCCTGAATATCTTCAACTGGAATCCGAAGTTGGAATTCGACGAGTACCTGAACACTCAGAAGGGCAGGAACTTCCTGAAGGAGAGAGGCGCCGAAGTGACGCCGACCCCTTCTCCGGAAGTCCAAATGCAACCTCAGGAAACGGGAATGCCTCAAGCCCACCCTCCAGGGCAGCAGACAGAACATCAGCCTCAATCACAGATGTATTACCATCCGAACGGGTATTACTACCCGTACCCGCCGATGAACCCAAATCCGCAGGCTCAATACTGGCCCCAACAGAGTTACAACCAGGAGTACTCGACTTTCCAGCAGGGGTATTACCCGCCTCAGCAGATGGTAAACAACCTAGTTCCCCAGGCGGAACAGTCGGCCCCTCCTCAACCGACAAGAAAGAGGGAAAGCGATCAAGCTCCGAAGAACAATCGAAATCGCCCGCGCAACAGAAAGGCAAAGGGACCAAGTTGGGTCCCTCCTCCCAACTCAAATCGAGCCCCTCCGGACTCAAACTCAGTAAGCGCCAGGGAGAGACGTCGACGAGCCCATCAGCTTTCCATTCACCAGGAAATGATAAGACTCAGCCGTACGACTCAGGCTCAGTATCAGGCGCTAGAGTCCATGAGAAATCAGAACGCAGGGGGCGGGAGTCGTCATCAACCCCGAGAGGACGCACAGACTCCAAGAAATTAACATCTGAAGAGTTAGTACCAATTCTACAAAAACTTTTCCTCAGCATAGAAAAAATTGTTGATAATAATGTGGCTTTGCTATCTAAACAGATTAACTCAGACGTCACTGTAGGTATAGCTAATCAATTGAGTCATCAATTTGACACCTTTGATCCAAAATTCAAGTCACTATTATTTTCTTCTGAAAACTCTATTGCCATGTTACAAAATATTCTTAGAACCCTCCCACAAATAGAAGCTTCAGCAAAAAAATGGTCAGCTTCAGAGTCTGATTTTAATTCTCTTCATAATAAATTGTCTAATCTTAGTAATATGCTTTCCAACTCTTCTGAGTCCCATAATATTAAAGAAATTAAAAATATTGTGATGGCCCTCAGTAATAGAGAAGATTTGTCCAAAAGAGCTTTTGACAATCTTTTTAGTCTTGTTTATGATAAATTGGAAGAAAACAAAAATAAGACTGACAATTTCTTTGAGAAATTGACCAATAAATTGACTCCTCATCCTGAAGTTGGACCTTCTTCAAAATTGGAATCTACTGAACCAAGTAAAGAGTCACCTGACTTGTTTCCTACAAAAGACAAAGACAAGGGTAAAGGGAAAGAAAGTTGTCATCCTAGTGCACCTGACGTGCTATTACAAGACCAACAATGGAACGCTAATAATATTTGTTCTTGTCACGCAAAAATCTCTGAGCTTAAGTTGGAGCATGAATTACTCAGAGAAGTTAATGAGAAGATAGACTACCTTATTAACTTGAATGAACAGCCAATTGCAGACATCAATGCTAAATTGTTGGTTATAGAAAACAATAATGAGAAGAGATTCAACACATTGATGGCAAAATTTGATGGATTGAAATCCCCCACTGTAGTACCCAGTGAACAGGTAGGGCACAACCGAGAAACCAGTTCTACTGCCGGACCAAAAATGTCTTATGCTCCAGAGGGGTCTAGACCAAATCCACAAATGACTGTAAACAATAATAATGCTGAATTCTTTGAAACTAGAAAACAAACTACAGATCTTGATCCTGGAAGACTAAGTGAATTTTTTGAAGTTCCCTCAGTGAAAGATGAGACAGTACCAGTTACTAAACCTCAGATGTCCCATGAAACAAGTAAGATTATCATGCAAGGTTTGTCTAAAATAGAAGCATGGCCTAGCTTTTCTGGAGATGGTGAGTATAACCATGTGGACTTTATCAAGAAAATTGATACTATCCAAGAAGACTGTCATATAGAAGATGCGGTTATCATTACAAAATTGATGAATATGTTCACAGGGTCAGCAGAGCAATGGTACGCCACGGTGAGAGCTATAGTAGGAAATCAGTCTTGGGCTTTCTGGAAAAAAGCCCTTCATAAAAAATATGGTACTCCAGCCTGGAGAAGAAAACTTTTGACTAATTATCAAAAGGATAGATTTATACCAGGGAGTACCCAAGCAGCAGCTTGGGTCACAAGACAGTACACAAGAATCATGGCATGTGAGCCACAAACTAACCATGAAAGCCTTATGTTTAAACTTCTGACCCAAATGGACGGAGAAGTCAGCTTTGCGGCACAAAATGCAATGAAAGATGGCCAAACTCTGACTTCATTAATTAATGCTTTAGAAGATATTACAGAATACACCAATATAGGTAAGAGACGACCATCTTATGGCCTTGGTAACAAGCAGTACACTAGTAATAATGGCTTGGATAAGGTTAAGGAATCCAAACAAAATTCAGACCTTAAGTGTTATTCTTGTGATAAAGTAGGACATACCTCTAGGAACTGTCCGAAAAAGGCTAAGAAAGTTGTAGCTATTGGTGATGAAAGTAATAATGATGCTGGTATTGATTCAGAAAGTGATGCTGAGCAGCAAGATCATAATCCAGATATTGTGTGTGTAAATACTACTTCTGTAGATTATTTTATTTCCCCTGTTTCAGGCAGTAATAGAATAGTGCAAATGATTTGTTGTCACAAGCCGTGTAACGTACTGCTAGATTCTGGTGCTTTTAAGTCAGTAGTGGGAATGAACTATTTGAGTAAGTTCTGTCCTGATTGGAAGAAATTTATTATTTCTACCACTACTGATAAATTCCATAGCTGCTCAGACCAATTGACTACACTAGGTGTAGTCAAAGTTATTCTGGAATTTAAAGACCACAAGTTACATGTGGATTTTATAGTCATTGAAAATGCCTTGGTAAATTATTTCATTCTAGGAAATGATTACTTGAGCCATTTTAAAATTTCTATTATGAATGATAAAGGTAGCTACTTTAAAATTGGTTCCAGTAATGTCAAATACACATTTGGCAACAATAAGTCTAAATTAGTTGCGTCAGGAAATACTTCTGAGTCCTCATTTTTACAGGAGGTAAAAGACAGCTCAAGAATAAATCCTGAACTGCCAAGCAAAGCAAAGGATCAACTCCTTCAATTGCTCTTTGCCAAAAGACAGGCTTTTGCTACGGTGGAAGAGCCCTTTGGTGCAATCAAAGGTCATGAGGTGAAGTTGACTTTGAACATTGATAAACCATACCCACCAGTCTTAAGAAAAGCACCTTATCCGGCTAGTCCAAGGAGCAGAGAAGCTTTAGCCGAACATATAGAGGCTTTACTTAAGCTGAAAGTCATTAGAAAGGTAGGTGCAAATGAGAATGTGGATATTACCACTCCGGTAATAATTGCTTGGCACAATAATAAATCTAGACTTGTTGGTGACTTCAGAGCTCTGAACAGCTACACTAATCCTGATAGGTACCCTATGCCTAAGATAATGGAATCTTTAAGTAAATTACATAAAGCAAAGTATATTACTTGTATGGATGTACTCAAAGGATTCCATCAAAATGTTATTCATGAAGATAGCAGACAATTCTTGAGAATAGTTTGTCATCTTGGTATCTATGAATATCTTAGGATGCCTTTTGGCATAAAAAATGCGCCATCTCACTTTCAGAGAATGATGGACACAGAATTTGCAAATGAGCTAAGCCAATTGTGGCTCATTATTTATATAGATGACATTATTATTTTCTCAGATAATTGGAATGACCACTTAGATAGGTTAAGTACAGTACTAGATAAGGTCATCAAAATGAATATGAAGATTTCACTGGCTAAGTGCCAGTTTGGATTTTCGGAGCTGAAAGCTTTGGGACATATAGTGAGTGGTTTGTCTTTAGGAATTGACAAACATAGAGTAGCAGCAGTATTGCTCAAACCTACACCTCAAAATGTCAAAGAAATGCAAATGTTCCTTGGTTTTGCTGGATACTATAGGTTGCATATAAAGAATTTTGGGTCCATGGCCTCTAGTCTTTATAAACTCTGTAGCCCCAGTGTAGTATTTGAAATGACTGCTGAAAGAGTTGAAGCTTATGAGTCCCTTAAGTTTGCTTTAACAAATGCTCCCCTATTGTTTCACCCTGATCCAAAAGAAAGGTTTAAATTGTATGTTGATGCGTGCATGGAAGGTATTGGTGCGGCTTTGCATCAAGTACAAACCATCAATGACAAACCTGTAGAAGGACCAATTTGTTTCATTTCAAGACAACTCAAAGATTCTGAGAAGAAGTACGGTGCTTCTCAACTTGAATGTCTCTGTCTAGTATGGGCCTTGGATAAGTTGTATTACTATCTGGATGGTTGTGAGTTCGATGTCATCACAGATTGTAATGCACTTAGGTCTTTATTGAACATGAAAACACCCAATAGGCATATGCTCCGTTGGCAAATTGCTATCCAAGAATGGAGAGGATCTATGACAATTGTTCACAGAGAAGGTATAGTGCATAAAAATGCAGACGGACTTTCTAGATGGGCTTTGCCAAATGACCCTAATAATCCTGCTTATGATGCTGAAGAAGCTGAAACAGGTTCACCAGTTCTGGATATTTTGCCTTTTAACATGAGGATGTCTGAGTGTCTTGCACATTGGGCTTTACCAAATGATGAGAGCAATCCAGCTTTTGAAAAAGAGTCTTTTGTTGACACTAATCCTATTATGGCTATTTCTATATCTGGATTGTCATCATCCTTTTGGGAATTAATAGAGAAAAGCTATGAATCTAACAAGAATACCGTAATTTTAGTCAAATTACTCAAGTCACCTTACCCAGATAAAGGTCTAATTGAAGGACTTGAAGGAATTTGGAAAAAACATTTCTTGGAAAACAGATTTGTTTTGTTAGACAAATTATTGTACCACAGGCGTGAACACAACTCCTCGGTAGTGCTTATTGACCCCAGTCACATCAGTATAATTTTGAATGAGTGCCACGACAGTATCACTTCTGGCCACTTTTCCAAAGAAAGAACTCTAAATAGAGTCCAGGGTCTGGCTTGGTGGCCGGATTGGAAAAATCAGGTGTCAGATTACTGTGACTCTTGCGACAGGTGTCAAAAAGCCAATAAAGCTACAGGAAAACGCTTTGGCTTGTTACAAACAATTGATGAGCCAAAATCAAGGTGGGAAATTATCAATATGGACTTTGTTACAGCCCTTCCTTCAGCAGGACCAGAAAACTATAATGCTGTGTTGGTAGTCTGTGATAGGTTTTCCAAAAGAGCAAGATTCCTGCCTTGCTATAAAGATAGTAGTGCAATGGATATAGCACTTATCTTTTGGAATAATATTGTCAGTGATGTTGGATGTCCAAGAATCATCATCAGTGACAGAGATCCTAAATTTACATCAGATTTTTGGCAAAATTTGTTTGAAATTTTAGGCACTAAGTTAGCTTTTTCTACAGCTTATCACCCTCAAACTGATGGACTAGCAGAAAGGATGATCCAGACTCTTGAAGACATGATCAGGAGGTATTGCGCATACGGAATTGACTTCAAGACTAGTGATGGTTACACTCATGACTGGGTTTCTCTTCTACCAGCACTAGAATTTGCTTACAATTCTAGTAAACATTCTGTCACAGGCATGACTCCTTTTGAACTTGAGAGAGGATGGATTCCTCACATGCCAAAGGACTTTCTGCTTTCCAAGACAATTGAATTACACCCCAGTTCAGAGTGTTTTCAAAAAATGATGTTCCAAGCAGAAGAAAAAGCTGCTCTCTGTGTTAAAGAGGCTGCTGATTATAACAAGGAGAGATGGGATAAAACTCATAGAGACCATGATTTGAAAATTGGTGACTTAGTTCTTATCTCTACAGTAAATTTCAATAACTTAGGGGGACCTCGAAAACTAAAAGATGCTTTCATAGGACCATTTGTTATTAAACAATTTCACGGTAGAAATGCTGTTGAGGTTATTTTAACAGAAGAATTTAGTCAGAGACATCCTACATTTCCTATAAGTCTTTGCAAAAAATACATTGTTCAAGATAATAGTTTTGACCGGTCATCTAATGAAGTCATTGCTCCTCCCATGACAGATGAGACTGTACCAAAAACTGCAACAAAAATCTTAAAAGAAAAAGTTGTAAGGAAAAATGGCAAAGACTGCAAGTTATACTTAGTAAGATTTAAAGATTGTCAGCCTGATCAAGACTTGTGGCTAGAAACTGATAAAATAGACAACTGTCAAGTCTTGTTGAGAAGGTTTAGAGCTACCAAAAGATCGAAAAATTCCTGATGGAATTTTCCTTTTGGTGGGGGCGAATGTCAGACACTGAGACACTAGCCCAGGTGTCTACAATAGAATGTAACCCCCTTGGGTTACATAACAATTATTATTATGTGTAATCTTTAAGTTAATAATTATTAAGTAATGTTATCCCTTTTTACATGTATTTTTTATGTTAATAATTATTCTGTAAATTAATAAAGATTCACCTCTTTATTAATTTACCTCTTCCATGAAAATTATAATCAAGTTGAAAAGGATAATTATCTCCTGGGTGTATCCAAGAGATGATTATCCAATTTACCTCTCTTGTGTGTATGTTTATTATGTTTATCTCTCTTATGGTATTTTCTGAAATAAAGGATATTCATCACATGTACATTTAACATGCTCTGAATATCCTGACACTTTCCCCCAAGGAAAAGTGTACCAATAAGGGGACTGCACCGGTCCCAGCAGCAGATTGACCCCTGCTCTGTAATATTTAAGAGGATGGCTCTCCCCCTGAGATTCATCCCCCAGACAATATTACCATACAAACCCAAGTGCCTTACTAGTTATTACAAACAACTTAGTGAGTGGGGTTTTTACAGTAAATTATTGTACCTTAGTTATTACATTTCTCTTTATCTTCTTACTAGCCTTATAAGTTACATATTTAACTTATAAGACTAGTACAAACATCAATTTCCTTATAATCCTTCAGCTCAGGCACTGTGAAGCTCATCCCACAGTTGTCCCTTATTCTTATAAGGAGCTAGCCCCTCCACTGTATTAGTGTTGAGGAGAGGCTTAATTCCACTGGCCCTTTTGGCTAAAGTGTGACCAAACCCATCAACTCTAGGTCACATAAGAGACCAGAGCTGACAGGGAGGAACCCCTCCCAGCTATTGAGACTGTACAAGTCTCAAAGACTGGGAGGAACCCCTCCCAGCTATTGAGACTGTATAAGTCTCAAAGACTGGGAGGAACCCCTCCCAGCTATTGAAACTTTAAAAGTCTTGGAGACTGTGAGGAACCCCTCCCAGCTATTGAGACTGTACAAGTCTTGATGGCTGGGAGGGATTCCTCCTGGCTCGGCAAAAAGGGCTAACAACCCGCTAAAACGTGCTGTAACGCAGTGTAGTGGGCGCTTTTTTGCGCCCTGTGCGTGTAGCATTAGTGCAATTCCAAATTTCTGCGCTAACGCTACGCTAACAGTCAGTGCACTGTAGTGTTAGTGCAGATGTGGCGGAATTCCGCTACGTTACGCTACACTAACACTACGGTTAGCGTAACTGGCCCACTCTCGGTTGCAGGTTCAAATCTTTCTGGCCCTTTTTTGGGTTGGGACTTACCAGACTTCCATCCAATGGATGGCTTTCCCCAACCATCCAAGTCCAAGGCAAATTCAATGGATGGACCCTGCAGGGCCAAAGCCAGACAGCATTTGGCACATCCGTTTGAGTTTCAAAATGCTGTGCAGCGTAACACAAGCCTCTCAATTGGAGGTGTGTTGAGACATTTCAAAGCAAGCCTCCAAAGGAGGGACTTGGAACCAAAGTTGGTTTTGTGGTTTGAGAGGTTTTGCCATTTTGGTGGTGGAAAACTTCCCTCCATTATCATCCCACCTTTCTCTGAAAAGTTTTGATGCCCTGTTGGATCAATAGAATTCTGTAGATCTTGCCTACCACCCAACAAAACATGGACCTGCCCTTGGATTCCCATGACATTCAAAAAGCTTTGCCAAGTCCATGGTTTCTTGGATCTGGAACACCTGTATATTCCTATATTTTGATGCATGTACAGATTACCTGGATCCCAGAAATCATGAAATTTGAGAGGCTTTTGGATGGGTCAGGAAGCCAAGGATAGGCCCAAGTTTTGTTAGATGGCAGGCAAAAATATGTGTGGCTCTAATGGCTCAACAGGGCATCAAAAAATCCCAGAGAAATGTGGGTAATAATGGAGGGGTTTCTACCACCACCAATAAATGGCAAAACCTCTCCAACCAAACAACTGACTTTGGTCACAAGGCTGCTTTGGAGGCTTGCTTTGCCGTGGTCTTGGCACACCTCCAGTCAAGGGGCTTGTGTTAAGCTAGAAAGGCTGTCTGCGACAACCCATGGTGTATTTGAGGCTCATAGGGCCCACAGCGGAGATGCTGTGAGTATGGCAGGAAGGTCAGGAATGGATATTCAGAATTTCAACCACCCTGCTACAGCAACAAATGCTGTGGTCTGCTGCACTTGAGGGAAAGTGTAACATGTCACGGTGCTGGACATCAATCATGCAAAGCCAAAACCACACCGGAACTTTGGCAGCACCTGGTCATATTTTTTTAATGGCTCAGAAGAACTCAACGACAGTCAAGGAGGTCGTAACTAAATATGTATCTACCATCACTTGATCTATGATGGGTGAAACAAAAAATTGTTTTACCCTTGAACCGCTCAGTCTAGTATTTAATGTTCTAATCATTCAAATTCATCACTTTCTAAATCATACATAATGCAAGCTCGATTTCCGTACTTATCTCTGTGGTTGGTTTTCTATTTGAATTCGTATGAGGTCGGGTCTAACATCTTAAACTTTCATGATGCCGGGGGAAGTGCGAAACGACCAAAGGAGCTTGAGGTGAGGGTGGCAAAAGGACAATTACCCCTAGCAGATGAGTGAAGCTGACTTGATGCTATAAATTACACGTAGTTAAGTACGCAGAGAATCCCTTTGGAAAAAATGCGGCGGCCAACCACGCCCAAAGCTTTTGATCTATCCCCTCTCCAATCGTTTGAGCAAACAAGGTCTGAGGATCAAGAGCCGAAGGATGCAGATGAGGAGCTTCAGCTCTCCAAGCGTCCCAGGCCAACGGAGCCCTTGGAGGAGTACCATTGGCATGCGGAACAGCATCTTCTTTCAAAAGAACGGCCATCAATTCCCGGTCTGACTACCTCCTCCTCCATTTCAGCAACAGTAAGAAACGATGAGTTTGACAAAGCCGACCGGCTACTTCACGGCCGCAAGGAAGCATTAAGAGCAGATCCGTTGAATCAAAAGGAGACGCCAGCGTTGCATTCTGCTTTCGGGAATGTTGCATCCCATTCAAAACATCTGACGGATTCTCAGCCCATCAAAATATCAAGTGGTGAAAGCAAGGCAACCGCATCGCAGAACAGGCCCCACCTCGAGTCATCATCGGCGCAGTCCTTCCGGGGCGAGATCACTGCATTGGCAACCGGACGTGAAGGAAAAGAAATTCAAACAGCTTCCCATACTGTTAGCCCAGTCGAAGATTTACAGGTTACTGCATGGTCTCTCTTTCCCGGAAACGAACAAGTAAAGGAACAATACTCCTGTCAAACTCTAGATTGGACTCCTCTCTCAATCGACGAAAATATTGCTCTTGTTTCCTATATCCTGGTCCACGCTTTCCATGCGGAAATTCCACATATTACACTGAATCATTTGAAAACTATGCAGAATTCACATACGATCTTCGTCCCATTCATCTATAGACTACTGACGAAACCTTTGACAACTCATAATTGGTCACGTATATTGGTAGTTTGGCGCGTCTTTTGGAATGGTTCAGCGAAACATCTGGAGAAGACTGACTTATCAACAAGCGAACTTCTTAGGAAGTTCATGTGGATCACGGATTTTATTTCAGAATCAACGATTCCTGAACTTTTTGACAATCTCGAATCGAAGCTATCTCACATGCAACGGCAAAATCTCGGTTTTCGTTTGTCTAATGATGAAGCAAGAATAATGAGGTTCCTCTCCGATGGCAGATATGACACGAAAATTACTAGTGCCCAAAGGAAAATTATATGTAATTTGAGCAAACTTAGCAATGAAGAATGTCTTGATCGGGATAGCTATTCAGAATCGGCTCAACAATTGGTGCTAGAAAGGTTGGAATCGCTCACTCAAACGATTAACTCGAAACTTCTGGGAATTCGCAAAGAGTTGGAAAATATCGAGTCCTCAAAGTTAAATTCTTTCTTCCATACGTTTGAAGAAGTTCTTCTTAAAAAGAAGGAATACAATCTTGATCAGGCTATGAGAATCTCAGGATTTTCTGATTCATTCCAACGCAAGATCTTGGGTATTTTGCAAAAGAGAACATCTGATGAGAAAAAACTCTTGTTATATTCAAGTTCCGAAGAATGTTTGAATACTCACGACCCCTTCTTGATAAAGCAATTTGACACGGAAATAACAAAAAGCCATCAAGGGTTCAATGATCAACCAGATATTATTTTTCTACCCCAAAGAATACATAACCTCATTGAAAAATTGAAAAAAGTTAATACTGGATTTCTCCATTTGGGAAGGATCTGCTGAACCGCCATTTTAGAATTCTACTCGTCTGTGGAAAAGCATCACTATTTGATTCCTGTTTTCTGATGGATTTTATTTCACTGCTCATTGAAATATCACTCATAAACAAGTAAAGCTTCTATTATAAAATAGCAGCATAAGCTGAATTGGTAGGTGTGGAAATATGTAGAAACAACAAAAAACATGAACAGGATTATATATAATGTTGAAGCCTTTGAAAAATGGGCATTTTTTCCATCTTCTACACAAAAATTGAAAACAATTGGAGAGATCTAGTGGTGTTGAAATTCTTCACTTTGAGGTCAAAGACTGGCTTTTAGTTAAACTTAAGGTCACTCTTGATAATATGAAATTGTAAGCCAGATAACTTCTGAAAAATTGAATTTTCATGTCATAAGGTACAGGCCCTAAATTTCTGCTTCACAAAACTCCTGTAATGGAGCCCATACGTCTTGTATACATGGCTCAGACCACTGCACCAAGCATGGTGATTGGGCTGGTTTGGTTCTAATATATACTATGTGGAATTTTGACCATCACATTTGTTATTCACCTCTGCTTCTACTTTCTTGTTTCTATCAGCAACCTACCGACAAGTTATTGTCTTTTTTCCTATAATTGGCTTCCTCTATGTCCTCTTTTTTTCCTGACACAAGCCGCCTCCCTATCTTCTTTTTTACTGTGATTGACGTTTTGCTTGTCCTGCTTGTTTTTGAAATTGACTTGCAACTCCCTCCAATTGTAGGAGGGACTTCCGACTTTTGCCGAGTTCCTCTGTCATCGCGCTTTGAGTCGGCGGTGGTTCGGACGCGCTTATCATCTCCCGAGTGTAGCCGATGCCACGACAACACCGACTACTTAGGCCCACGACGACACGCCTTGGACCCTTCTACGCCTCCTTTTACCTTTCCGGACTAGCCTGACACGCCAGCCCCTTGTTTCACCCTGACTAGGCTTACTGAGCCTACACTCGAATGCGGCTTCCTACCTTTGTCCTTATTTTCTCTCAGTTCGCATCGCGGGTATATAAACCCTATAGCTCTCTCCCTTTTTGTAGACTCTTCAGTCATCTAGTTATCTTTCCTCTTTGTCTATACGTTTCTTAGCATCTTCATAGTTTTACATTGCATTGCATATAGTTTTAGCATTCCGCAGCCGTAGCCTTTCTACAGTCCTGAGTCCTGTTAGCCCTCCGGCTTCAGTGGTAGCGAGTTCGCACTTTTTTTACTTCTTTTAGATACTTTTTTTTGCTACTGTTTTTCTTCGAACGCGGCCGAATCCTTTTTTCTTCGACGACCTTATTCTTCGATCTCAGTTTTCTTCCCGCGAGTTCTCCCGTTTTTTCTACTTTCGACTTCAGTTTTTCAGCAAATCCATTTGCCTCAACTCCTTTCCCGTCGAGCGCTTAGATTAAAAAAACCCGAGTTCTATCTTTAACCAGTAGGTTTTTTCTTGTTGAAAAATACATCGTATCTTTTTGAAGTCCCTTCCGACGATTTTTGGTCGGGCTTAGACTGGCTTTCGTTTTCAAACCAACGAAACTGTTTCTTAAATTTTTGACTCAAACTGATCTTTTGCTGTGTATTTCTGAACGTTACAGAATGGCTATCCCCAGATCCCCCGTTGACAATGTCACTACTCGACGTGCTCCCCGTTCCGCGAGCTTAGCTCCCAGACCGCCGTTCAATGGTTTCGATTACTGCGCCGACGAGTTAGAAGCAATGACGCATGACGAGAGGTTATATGTAGCTGAGAATCCGCGTTTCTGGCTTCGAATGGTTCCTCGAGTCGCCACGGAAGAACGATCCGAGAGCAGCAACGACGATTATGAAGATCCCGCTGCGACTCCTTTGACTGACGATGGATTTCCGAACGAAATTGTCATGGGCTCCTCGTCCGCTACGGGTGACGGCGTTCAAGGCAGTTCTCGTGAAGCTGCTACGCAAGCCATGGAGAATCTTCGTTTCAAAGGGAAGGCTCGAGCGGTCTCCGAGGCCGGCACTGAAAAGCCTGTTTTACCAAACCTCGATATCCCGGCAGCCCGGGCTGAAACGCCTCGACGTCCTGGAGGTTTGTCTGGTCACACCAACGAATACCTTGGGCATGCACCTCGCGCCCCCGGAAACGATCCCTACGCTGATTGGGAAATGAAGTTATCAGTGGTCCTCCGTATTTGGCAAGGCACCAACCGACCGACTTACAACGCCTCGGTCACCAGCGACGCTCGTATTTGGTTGGCTGACATCGAGCTAGCTCTGGAAATGATACGAGCTCACCCGTCGTTATGGCATATCGTCGCCTTCAACATGCTCCGCGATCGCGCGCTGGAGGAATTGAAGAAGGCAAAAGCTGAAGGCACCGTTCCTCAGAACTGGCCCTCCTTCAAAGCCTGGATTACGAAGGAAAACCCCTTAGCTATCAGCAAACAATCTGTTGCTCGCGCTTGGGACCAACTTCGTCAAGCCCCAAACGAATCACTCGAGAACTTCATGAAGCGGTTCTCCGCCTGGCAAGTTATGGCGAAAAACTACGACTTCCAGTACGACGAGATTACTGGATTCGTCTTGAAGGTCAATCCCGGACTTTCTAAAAAACTCGACAGCCTTATGGGCACCGAGGAGCGACGCAAGACTCCAATGGACTTCCGTTCGGTCCAACAAGCGGCCCTAGAGGAAGATCGTCAATGGCAGGCTAATCGCCTAGCGTCGACTTCTGACAAAGGCAACAAACGAGCAACGGCCCCCGATGACGACGCCTCCGGGAAGAAGGCCAAAACAGGCGAGCGAGTATGTTACAACTGTAACAAACCGGGGCATAATAGTTCGAAATGCCCGGAACCAAAGTCTGAGAAGCAGCTAAGGTATGATGCCAAACGTGCTGCCTCTGGTTCCAACACTGTTTCTTTAAATGTGTAGTCGGTGCGCAATTGTCTCTGCCACCGACCTTTGTCTCTCCTTGTTCTAATTCTGTTAGCAATAAAAATCCCACGTTCGTTAACAACATTGAGAGTGAGCAAACTATTGATTCATTGAAATCACCAACGGCTATAGCAGCGTCGGCTACTGTTCCATCTGTGAACGTAGCCTGTTCTGCTCGAGAGATTATTGTAAGTACTTCGACTAATCATGATTTGATTCGTGATTTTTTGGGCAACAACCCTGATCAATTGTTGTCAATCCCTCAACAGGAGGGCGACCTTAACGTGAATTTTTTTCAATCGATTGAAGGACGTGTAGCTAACGTCTTAATCGATACGGGTGCTGGTTCATCCTATGTCTCTAGGTCCTTTGTCTCGGATCGAAAACTAAAAACGTCCAAGTGCCTTCCGTTTGCTGTAGCGGGAGCCTTTGGTGATTGCATTAGCAATAATCTGTTATGTGAGTTGCGTTTGATCTTCGGGGCATTTTCCGGCCTTGTAACATGCAGGGTGGCTCCTTTGTCCTCATATGATATAATCTTGGGTCGCGATTGGATTTCTTCCAACGCAACCAAAACGGATTGGGAACGTAACGAGTGGTTTTTGAAGAATTCTGACGGTTTAGTTGTCTCTTTCTTTCCAGGAAAGAACATCTCAAATCCTCATAATCTGGCTATCATTAGCAGCGATCCTGATCTTATCCCAATGTCAAGACGATCTTTTCGAAAAGAATTGAAAAACAAAACGACTGAATTCTTCTTATGTACAATGGTTGACGGCGACCTAAATGTTCTAGGACCTCGGGAAACTCCTGCAGTGAGCTTACCCAATTCATTTAGTGAAGCCGAACCATTTGGATCCTCCCTAAGGGCTCTGGTTAATCGTTATGAAACATTATTTTTCCCTATTGACCAGGTTTCCTCTAAAGAACGAGTTGTGGAGCATCTTATCGACACTGGGGACGCTAAGCCAGTGTATCAAAATGTACGACAAATGTCGCCGTTGTTGCTCTCAGAGCTGAAGGAGCGGATCCGAAAATTACAAGCGACCGGCTTTATCCGGCCGTCCACTTCTTCGTGGTCATCTCCGATTCTGTTTGCGAAAAACGCCTCTGGTTCTCTGCGATTCTGTGTGGATTACAGGGCTTTGAATGCGCTTACGAAGAAGGATCGACATACCCTTCCTCTAATTCAAGAGTGTTTCGACTCTTTGAAGGACGCTAAATTTTTTACTAAAATTGACCTTCAACAAGGCTAGAGATCGTTCCGCGGTACCCTTTGCTAGGTACCTAGTACCGCTTGGGGGGTACCCTTCACACCCGCCCCGCACCTGTCGGGAGGTGCCAGGTGCGGTACTTGGTACCTATTTTTGTGAAAAATTGAACAGGTACCTAGGTACCGCTACAGGTACCCCCTCACTTCCCTACCAAAATGATGGTGGCCTTCTACTCCAAGAACTCCAAGAAGGTACCTTGGCTACATGGAAACAGGGACTCAAGGATAACAAGAAGTCTAACCAAAAATCAAAAAGGAAGGTGATAGTTTTGGACAACGATGAAGATTCTTCTAATAATCTAATTAGATATAATTTGTAGACAGTTTAAGCTTTAAAATAAATTATTAAATGTGAACAAATGAAAAATTGACTTGGGATTGATGTTTTACAATAAATATGAAAAAAGGCAAGATTCTTCCCATTAGATGTAGATACTTGACAACAAATATGAAAAAAATGCCAAAAAAGTGACTTGAGTAATATTTTACAATAAATATGAAAATAATAATAATAATGAAGTAAGGTTCTTCCAATTAGTTTAAGATGTCTTACAACAAATATGACAAAAGGAAAAACAGTGACTTGGGAATGATATTTTCAATGAATATGAAAATATAATAACAAAGTAGGATTCTTCCAATTTTTTGTCAACATTTCACAATAAATATGAAAGAATGGAAAAAATTGACTTGGGACTGATATTTTACAATAAATATGAAAAAAATAATAATAAAAAAGTGACTTGGTAATCTGAAAGTGAACCTAGGTTAGAAAGAGAGGGGAGGTACCCGCGGTACCCGCCAAAAGTACCGCCGGTACCCGCCGGGAGGTGCCTGGTGCGGTACTTGGTACCTATTTTTTGAAAAAATTCAACAGGTACCTAGGTACCAACAGGTACCCAAGTACGAACGAACGATCTCTAAACAAGGCTTCCATCAGATGCGCATTGCTCCGCATGACGTTCCAAAAACGGCCTTTGGCACCAAATATGGACATTTCGAATGGCTTGTGATGCCTTTTGGGTTAGTCAACGCTCCTAGTACTTTCCAAAGAATGATGACACACATCCTACGAGATCTTATTGGCGATTTTGTTCAGGTTTATTTGGATGACATTTTAATCTATTCTAAATCTGAGGACGAGCACCTCAAACATGTTGAGAAAGTTCTATCCATTTTGAAGAAAGAAGAGCTTCGCTGTAGTGGACACAAGTGTTCATTCGGCCTCGAGGAGATTCAATACGTTGGACACCTCGTCTCCCGAAATCATGTACTACCAATGCCGGACAAGCTCAAAGCTGTCGACGAATGGCCTCGTCCATCTAACGTCCATGATGTGCGTTCCTTCTTGGGTTTATGTGGGTACTACCGACGATATGTGAAAAACTTTGCGGACATTGCGACTCCTCTCCATGAGCTTACGGCGGGCAACGTTACTAAGCGTCAGTCTGTTCTATGGCTTCCTCTTCATGAGGCTGCTTTCCTCAAGCTTAAAGAGGCGCTGGTCTCGGCACCTGTCCTGCTAACACCTGATCAATTGAAACCTTTCGTTATAGAAACAGACGCTTCGGATTTTGCCGTGGGCGCTGTGCTGTTACAAAAAGCAGACGATAATAATTTACATCCTGTAGCTTATGAATCGAGTAAGTTGAACTCTTCCCAACGAAATTATCCTGCTCAGGAACGAGAATTGCTCGCCATATTGCATGCTTGGCGCAAATGGCATGTTTACCTGGATGGAGCGGTCGAAACGACGATTGTTTATACCGATCATGCCTCTTTAGTTTACTTCTCTACGCAGAAACTCCCCTCCAAACGACTGCTTCGTTGGATTGATGAGTTCTCTGAGATGGACATCGAGGTAAGGTACAAACGGGGATCTGAGAATGTTGTTCCAGACGCCTTGTCCCGACGTTCTGATTTATTGTTAATTGATAGTATAGGCTCCTCGTTACACGAGACTGACTGGCCTTTGATTATCCCTTATTTGCGTGATGACAGACCAGTCCCCGATTTCGTTCCTGTGGCCCTTAAAGTCCGAGCGCGTATGAACGACGAGTTTTTTGAATATGACCTTTTGGAGGAGACTCTTATCTATCTGGGACGCCCTGGATTGTCGGAACGTTCTCCGTTCATCAGCTTCGGTCACCGATTTGCTCTCTTGAACAGGGTGCATGACGAGGCTGGACATCGTGGTCGTGACGCGACTTTGAGTCTTTTACGTGGCCGCGGTTGGTGGCCCCACCGCCTCACCGATGTTAAAGCCTATGTGAAAACGTGTGCACAGTGCCAGGTTTTTGAGCGCTCTCGGGACTCTCAGGAGACGTCGGCACAAGTCCCTTTGCCGCTTGTGGGACCCTTTGAACGCTGGTCCGCGGATTTTATCCAACTCACGGAGAGTCGGGTACACAAGTACCGATGGATCTTAACGATCATTGACCATTGCACTTCTTGGCCGATAGCAATACCGATGCGGGACGCTACGGCAACGAACATCGCCGAGGCTCTCTTGGAGCATGTTATTACCCCGTTTGGTTTACCGCGGGAATTCTTGACGGATAGGGGCTCGAATTTCCTGTCGAAGGGATTAACTGACTTCCTTGCGGCCGGCAATATTGAAAAGGCGAATACCTCGGGGTATCATCCTCAAACGAATGGTAAGAACGAACGTTACAATGGAATACTTGAGGCTGCCTTATTTAAACTTAACAAGACGGGAGATCTTGCTCGTTGGGAAGATTATCTTCCTGCGGCTCTGTACTCTACTAGGATCCATTGCAGTGACAGCAGTAAGTTCTCGCCGTTTGAACTCACGTATGGAGTGAAACCAAGACTGGCATCTGACCCGGTTAAACCTATCGCTACTGAGGTAGCATGTCCTGGAGAAGATGCCCTTCGTGAACGTATCAGACAGCTAAATGCGAAACGCACTACGGCGCTGACTAACGTTGCCAAACGTTCTGAAAAAAATAAAAAAGCTTTTGATACAAAACTCGGCTCTGTCCCAGATCGTTACAATGTGGGGGAGTCCGTCAAACTACGAAATGAATCTCATGTGAAAGGTGCTCCCCGGTGGTACGGCCCCTTTGAAATAAAGAAAGTACTCGAGAACAACGTTTACATTCTCTCTGATACGGACGGATCTGATTATCTACGACCAGTGAATGGAAATTCTCTCCGACCTGTTTCCCTACGATCTCTTTTGACAAACGAAATGTGGGCGACACCTCCGATAATTGCTCTCCGAGAGCGACAAAAGGACGCCCGCGTAGCCAAGAAGGCTCTTGCTAACACGAAAACGATTGCTAAAGTATCCAAACCCGGCATACACCTCAAATTCGAAGGAAAGTTCATCACGCCGAGGACCGGGACGCCCTCTAAAAATGGGGGGGGGGATGTTGTAGCCGATGCCACGACAACACCGACTACTTAGGCCCACGACGACACGCCTTGGACCCTTCTACGCCTCCTTTTACCTTTCCGGACTAGCCTGACACGCCAGCCCCTTGTTTCACCCTGACTAGGCTTACTGAGCCTACACTCGAATGCGGCTTCCTACCTTTGTCCTTATTTTCTCTCAGTTTGCATCGCGGGTATATAAACCCTATAGCTCTCTCCCTTTTTGTAGACTCTTCAGTCATCTAGTTATCTTTCCTCTTTGTCTATACGTTTCTTAGCATCTTCATAGTTTTACATTGCATTGCATATAGTTTTAGCATTCCGCAGCCGTAGCCTTTCTACAGTCCTGAGTCCTGTTAGCCCTCCGGCTTCACGAGTGACATCGGGCAAGACCACAGAAAATCTTTAACTTGAACAAGTACCTCCCTCCTACCGTCTACGTGACGGAGTGGTGAGACACTTGTCGCGTTGCGCCGACCGGGGGGTGGGACTTACAGCTTATACTATAATCCCCGCCGTATACCCTCTTTCGGCGGCATCCTCCCTCCAAATTCAGAGGGACTTTGCTATGTCAGTGCCTGCCTGTAGTGCGATGGGCGTGATCCTGCGTGATCTGGGGTAAAACACCGAAGATTCACCTGCAGTCATTTGGGAAAGAATGATAACGTACCTCTCAGATTCACGAGCTTGCGACTTGTTTGAAGGCTCGTGTAGGTCTGTGGAACATACATCCCACAGGCTGGTCATACGTCAGGACAAAGCATTCCAGGAGGTCTTCATATCCATTCGATGCAGCTTTCGTCCACAAATTCGACAAACCTGCTGGGCCCACCACCTTTTATTCTCCTCGGAAGCCAGCACATGATCAAGCTTCTCAAGAAAGGTTTGACTTAAGCTCACGTGATTGGTGATAACAATCCCCTTGGAATCGAACCTTTACTTCCTCACCTGTTGGTGCCACCACCTGAGCTTTTCAAAGGATTCCAGATGCAAACTCGATTCTATTATCTACTTCTACTATCAATATCCTCGCGTGGTTTAATTCGATGTGGGTTTGGGCCTAGGTCGCTCAGGAATTCTCTTGACCCTTGGCTGGATAATAGTTCCTTGATTTCGGATACCACCGAGAGCTTGAAGAGGACAAGGGAGCCTGTGGTGAGGTAGACGACCAAAGAAGAAAAAAAAAGGCCACAAAACAACAGACTGATGTACTGTGCCTTTTTTACATGCAGATTGAGAATTGGGGAGTCTCTCCCGAGAACGACGCGCAACGTACGATTCCACCAACCCTGAACCTATTTGCTCTGAAGCCCTCGAAGAAATCGAGGTTGCAAGATCAAATTGCGAGTAATGAAGTCGAGCAATTTGACAATTCAAAACCTCTAAAAGCAATGGTCACACCTGGTGATTACGGGCCGTCTGCTGGGGAACCTCTCACCAGGAGAAAACAGCCATCAGTGCCTTATTGGAGTATGACCTCCATGCAGATTGAGAATCGAAGAGCCTCTCTGGAGAACGACGCACCACGCACTATTCCACCGACCCTGAACTTATTTCCTCTCAAGCCCTCGATGAAACAGAGGTTGCAAGATGAAAGTGCGAGCAATGAAGCTGAAAAACTTGACAATTCAAAACGTCTAAAATCAGTGGTTACACTCGGTGATGATCAGGGGCCGTCTGTTGGGGACCCTAGGAGAGAACAACCATCAGTGCCTTTTTGGACTATGACCTCACCCATGTTAACAACCAGAGTTCAGCTGGGAAACGTTGGTACGACTGCTTACAATCAGAGAAAGTCATGGGAGGTCGAATTGGGCAATGCTAACCGAGCCGCGGCACTTCCGCCGAATGTGCCAACTATCATGGCCGGTAACAGAGAAGAGCCTAGCCCTGCCGATTTTTCGCATTTCAAGTCTTCCCAGGTGCAATTCCCTCCAATTGCGAGAAATGGCTTGTCAGCTAGCAGCAAGGGAAAAGAAAGTTCCAGGCACTTTCCTGCAGCTAGTCGATTTGAAAATTTCAACATGGTCCCATGGTCTCACTTTCCTGGAAACGAGGAAGTTAGACGACGCTACCCCTGTCAAACTCTAGATTGGAACCCGGCTGGGATCAACCCAGATTTGGCTCTTATCGCCTACAGTATGGTCGCTGACTTCCGCAAAGCAACGCCAACAACTTCGCTTGGTGTTTTGAACGGTGAAAATACTTCTCATGAGTTGTTCCTCCCGTTCATTTACAAATTAACGACGAAACCTCTCACAAATTATCATTGGAAGCATATTAAGAGCGTATGGCGTCTCTTATGGGTGTGCTCAGTCGAAGCCTCACTCAGACCATTCGAAACACTCTCAGCAGATACAAATTTGAAAATCTTTCTTTGGATCTCGGATTATATTCTGGCATCTACAATTCCTGAACTTTTCGAAAACATGGAAATTGGTCTGTCTGGCTCGAACAGAAAAACACGCGAATGCCTTGTGCACTCCGATGAAGCTAGAATCTTGAAATTATTATCAGATGGAAGATTCGAATCAAAAATCTCGATCTATCATAAAGGATCATTAAAGCTTATAAGTGAGAAGTTAAACAAAGAGTGTCTTGATAGGAACCAGGAGTCACAAGGTGGACTGGATGACAAAATCCACTCTTTGGTGTTAGCAAGATTAAGATCAAGGGCACAATTAATCACCTCAAAATTTTCGAAACTATTGAATACGTTGAACCCAAAACAACAGCTCATGCTCCCTTCCTTCCTGATGGTTTTCAAACAGATCACTGTGGAACGGACGTATGTTGACATTTATAAAACCATGAAAGAATTGGGTTACTCTGATTGGTTTCAACAAATAATTGATGGAATTCTGGAGAGGACAATCAAATCGTACGAAAGTAGGATGGATCCGCCCCCAAGCTCACCCCACCTTGAAAAAGAAAATCATTTGAAAGTCATGCTGATACATTCGTTCGATCTCGTATGTGCGTCTTCGGGCTCTATGCTACCCAAAAAACAAGACCAGGGTTTTCTTTCTGGAAGAATTCAACAATTCTTCACTCAGGCTCTCCAAAATGAGTATTTACAATTAATCGCCGCAGTACCTATAGATTGAGAGGAGCACCATACACAGAAAATCCTGCCAAGCTATTTTCCAAGCAGCTTATATTCCTCACAAATGTTTGATTAAATAATATATTGATACCGCTTATGCTTTATTTACCAACTTATGTTTACTCAGTGTTTGAATGTAAGATCACTCAAATTTGCATCTTGTTGACTTCTAAAAGGTCCATTGGTCTTTTTACATTATTCTGCGAGTTATTCATGTGGAAATTCAGAAATGCTCCATAAGATAGGTTTAGTGCCCACTAAATTAGCGTCTCAACACAGCTATTTCTTACCGGACATCATACCAAAAAAGTGGCAATCCAATTCAACTTGAAAAACGTTAATGAGGCGGGATATTATGGTAAATCATCAGGTATTATCGAGAAGACCGTCTATGAGTATAGATTTTATGCTATGTAGGCTTCTTTCTGCCAAATATTGTAAGTTGGATATACGAATAACCTATGAGAGTTTCTGGTTCTGTGATTTTTTGAGTTTCAACACCCTCATTCGTGTTGAAAGGCTTAAGCTTATGTATATTGATCAAAGATCAAGAATGGGTTTCCTTCCTCATGAATTTAATGAGCTCATTCATAATCTTGATAGCACCGTGCCGGTAGCCTCCCTGAATTTTTATTGAACCGTTCCGATTGGATGATGAAAAAGGAAAGGTAAACTGGATGACGGCGGATCTTGTATTTTTAGGAAATGATGAAGAAAAACAGGAGACTCACACCAAATATCAATGTGTGATTCAAGTGATGGTAGAGCTCGTATAACCTGCAGATTAAATTCACAGTAAACACCATCCCATCTTTTAAGAAATATCAACGCTTCACGATCAAAAATACCTGATTCGCTCTTCGTGATGAGGTTCGCTTCTATGTCGGTGCTTGTGATATTCTTCGAAAAACGCATTGGTCCTGCCTATTTCAGATACACCATGTTTGCAACAAAATAAATAACGATCAGTTAATGCGTTTATGATTCCATTAACCATTACCAGCCACACTTTTTCTTACCTCCGAACATCTTCATGATACCCAGTTCAACTTCGCTATGTCCGTAATAGCTCGACGGGTCAAACAAGACCGGCTCACCAGTCTGTCGATTCACTGATATATTTCCCGACCTGCAAAAAAATTCTTTTGGTAAGAGAATATACAGATTGAATCTAGACATACGTTGACTGACCATAGATCACCATGGATAATTACAGGCACGGGGGCTGGATGGAAATCTGTGAGCAGAAATGGAATGACTCTGTAACTTTCATCAGGCGTTGTTGAGATTTGACCCCGGTCTATCTGTCTATCTATAGTACTTACTCGTCACAAAGGGTTTTTCCCAATTGCTTTATATCCTCATCTCCGATTCTGTCCACCAAACTCTTAATGCGTCGGTCTCTGAAAAACACCATCCAATCTTTCTCCCAGGTGTTATCCTAGAGTTCATTTGACAAATTAAAGCAACATTAAAGGAACAGTCAAATGAAACAACTGGTTTGTATGGTGAAATAATACCTAGAAAAGAAAGAACAAATCACCTGTTCGGTTTCACCACAATGTGTCGGAACATCAAATCCGTACATTCCATTTGGCGCTTGAGAGGCGGGATTAGTAGGATCATGCATCCTGGCTAATTGACGGGCCAGCGAGCGCTCAAGTTTAGAATCCATGTGGGACAGATCAAAATATTCTGCAAATGTGTTCAAGAGAAACCCCCAGTCATATGTAAGATTGTAAGGAACGTCAGTGACGAGAATTACACCCATTATTACCACTGTCAAAATGCCTTAATTGTTGTGATATAAGAAGTTTTAATTACCTGAAATCATGACCGTTTTACCCTCCTGGATGAAAATCCCCAACGGGTTTGGCACAAAGCCTGCAGGTGAAGCAGCTCGAAGTGCTCGGAGTGATTCTGCTTCTCCCTAAAACCAATGAATTAGTAGCACCAAGAAGTCCGTGATTGATGTCAATTTCCAGAGCCATCCTCAACTTGAATGAGATGGGTTCCAGGTGACGAATCGCAGTAGATAGGTTCATGTTGGATACAAGATACAAATATAAAGAGGATACTTTCCCTGAATCTTGTCACGACATCAAGTGAGCTTGTCGTCTTGACAAAATAGCTCAAACCTTGAGTGGTATCGGTGATCTTTTCAGGCGAGGCCTGAACCAATCCTTCGGTTGGGATCTTGAGCTGTCGGAAGGCATGAACGATACACGAAGGCAGCTGGGTTTGCGTCATGGTCTTCCGATCCCGCTTTGGAACTTGAAGGGAAATTTTCAAAACAAGCGACTCTGGGCTGTAAAGATTTATCCCTACGTCATCGAAGAGCAGAAGAGGAAGATGCTGTGAATGTGATCATCGGCGAAGGGCTTCGGCTTCCCCATCGGACATCGGGGGTGGGGAACCCCCGGAGTCTGACTTTCGGTATACCACTACAAACCCGTTCTTTCAATGAGACGATTCAAAACTTTTTGGAAAATTCACAGCCCAAAAAGAATATATTAACTGTTTGGCTTACAATGTCTTCTTCACTAACACAATGAGTATGTGGCTTGCGCAAGTGATCTTTTTCATACACGACGGTTCTTTATGTTTCTCAAAATTGATTGTGTAACAATCACATCACGATCCATCCTGGAATTTTGAGTACCATAAATCATTTCATTGGGTTTTTTTGTACGTCATTATTGCATGAAAACCCGATTCATTTGATTTCTTTCCTTCCAAACACCCACAAGGAGGAGCTTGGTCATGATATGTCAGTACAACGTCAGGTACTCTCAATATATACCAAACACGTTTTTCATTCTTTCCTTTCTTTCTTTCACTTTAAATATATATATGTGTGTGTGTGGTTTAATGTATGTTTAGTACCCACATCAAGCTAAAATTTCAAAAAAAAAAAAGTTAAAAAACAAGGATGGGAAAAAGCAAAAAAACGCCCCCAGGATAGTAAAAAGGGAATTCAGGAGAAACCAAAAAAAAGTATACATTACTTATTTATTTGGTTCTATAATGGAGAAGAGGAGATCGATTTTTGTATGTGAAAAAACCCACACAAAGAATATATATAGGGGGGAGAGTGTGGAGGGGGGAGAGGGGGGGAAGATAGACAGAATTAGCGAGACCAAGAAGGAGCAGCATTATAAGAATAAGTTCCATTAGGATAAGTATCCGGGTTCTGTTGTTGTTGTTGTTGTTGCTGCTGCTGTTGTTGATGAGTAAGATGACTTTGTCCGTTGGAGTTCCCATTTGTATTTGTTGGGGCCCATTGAGGTGATTGAGGTGAGGTTTGTGGGGAAGTGGGTGAATACTTTGGGGGACCGCAGAATTCTTGATTAGCTCTCTTTGTTGTCTAGTTTCCATATTCATTCAAAAAAAGAAAGCTTACTTGAGGACTTGTGGGACTGTAAGCCGGCGAAGCAGGCTGTTCATCGTAAGTTTCATCGACCGATACGTAATCAACATGAATTAGTTAGTCAAAGTTCTTGAGGTAAAATGATTCCTTCTTAACAGCTTGACGCTTACACTATACTTCGGACTAGCAGGCCTGTTTCAAGACCCCACAAAAACTTAAATCAGTGATCAAGTAGACCAAAGAAAGAAACCAAGTTTCCAATCATTGACTCACGAAAAGGCAGGTGATTGAGGTGACCAACGTTGGGTGGTCGGGGAATACCTAGACAATGACCGAATCCAAACTCAAACACAATCAACTCTCCAAACCTCGCAAACAGTGATGATCAACTATCCAGAAGGGAGAAAAGTGACCGACTTTGGAGATGCAGGCGAGAAAGCAGGGCTAGCGGGGCTGTATCTATATCAGAAAGCGGATTAAGACCACCACGAGTGAATCAGCCTTTCCAGCTTTGTTTTAAGTCTTAGACTTGGACTACTTACTTGGGGGATGAAGGTGACATCGCTGGGGATGTGGGAGAATAACGTGGTGATGTGGCTAATCCAGCTGGCGAGTAGTTCGGGCTGCTTGGTGAGAACCGAGGCGATGCGGGCTAAATAGGATGGGATGGGAACGAAATATATAAGATACGGAAAACCCGAGCGCAGGCGAGGAAAAAGACTGGACAGAAAAAACGGCTTGGTTCCTTACGGAGAATGAAGGAGAAGTAGGTGACTGAGAAAAAAAAAAAAAAAAAAACTCGAGTCAATCAACAGCAAGAGTGTTATGAAGGGGTCCCGCAAAGAAAGAAAGAGAAACTCACAAAAGCAGGCGATGCGGGTGACTATGTTGAGTACGTTTGTAGAACAGGCGGAGAAGACAATCGAAGAGAAAAAAAAATGAGTCAGCTTAACAAAAAAAAGTACATCCGCAATTCTAGCAAGAAAGTGACGCGAAAGAGAAACAGGGGGTAAAGAAGTGCGACTGACAAAGTTAGGCGAAGCAGGCGACTGTGAAAACAATAACAATGATTGATTGATTGATTCAAGAGGAGAATCAGATTTTAGTTGAACAGAATAATGAAATGGGAAACAACAAAAAGAGAATGAAGATGTAAAAAAAACTGACGAAGTTTGGCGAAGCAGGCCTAAAAAAATAAACAAACAGAAACAAAAGTCAACTCAAAATCAAAATCAAAAACAATAGATGGAAAAAGGAGGGGAAGGGGGAAGAAAGACTAACGAGAATCTCGGACTAGTAGCGCCCATTCTAGGACTAGTAGGACTGTATCCAGGCGAAGTACCAGAAGCGACCCAAGGGGAAGCGCCGCTCCAGGTGGGACTTGTAGGAGTATAAGCAGGACTCGCAGCAGGGTTATAAGAAGGACTTGAAGGTGAGTAACTAATCCGAAAAAAAAATACGAAATGTCAGCAAGTTTTTTAGGAGCAAATCAGATGCTTTGGGACATTGGGTCACGAAAGACAACAAGAGAAGATCAAAACCACTTACCCGGGACTAGTTCCACCTCCAGCACCGTACGGAGATTGCCCGCCATAACCGCCATACATATCGTTACTTCCACCAAACCCGTCGTCGGCACCCGCGGTGATGATAGGCGAGAACATCGCATGGGGCACCGGGCCGTCCTCGAACCTAGCTGTTGGGCTTCTGGTGTCACCGAACTCGGCATACGGGGTCATCCCGCCACCGGGAGTCATGGCGCCATCGGCATACCGGCCGCCCAGGATCTCGCCTGCGACTGGCAAACGATGGTCGATCACCACATCCTTCAACATCTCCAGGTCCAGGGCCACATCGAACGCCCCCGTGCCCATCGGCGCAAGCTGGCCAAGTAACACATTCTCCGCAACCCCCGTACAATGGTCCTTCTCTCCCAATGCCGCTGCATCCATCAGGATCTCCACCGTCTCTTCAAATGAACACCGCATCAATGGGCCCGTATCCGTCCGATTAATCCCATGTCGGGTGATTGCCATCAATGAGCCTCGGTTCGTCATCAAGTCACACAATAAGGCCAGGTGGCGATAGTTCACATACGACCCATCAAACTCGATCACATTTCGTAACTCTTTCAATAACGAGGCCCGGGCGGCTTCGACTCCCAGAACGGTCAGGATCTCGACACAGTTATTCGACACTGTCCGAATCGGATCCACTCCATCGACACATAGGACTTCTTTGAGATTGATCCCATCCGTCTCTAAAACCCATTCAGTCTTCCGCTCGAATTCCCCACTAGAGTTGATGTAATTGACGTTATGTTGTAACATGAAGACTCTCTGGATACCTTCGACACCACGTAGAGAGATACCACCTAGCATCTGATCGATCTCCCTCAAGAACACATCTTCTTCCACCTGTCCTTCGTCATCATCCTTATCAGCCTCTGAGGATTGCATCGCTCGACATCGAATCGTCAATTTCTCTGCATTATCTTCCGACCAGATTATGAACAGATCTGACTTGAACACTTCGGCTATTCGAGAGGCCACAAAATTCATCGACAGCTTTTTATCCAGCATCTTCGCACGATCCAATTCAAGTCGAAGTAGCCACGGTGACTGGTGGTCAAGTTGCGCTTCTACTTCATCATCGGGTACAGCAAAGAACGCATCAACAAAGTCCAGATCCTCTTCGACAATCGTACTCTTTGGATTTGGGTCGTAGATAATTTGAGTGGACGCGGTGACAGTTTTTAGTGTTGTATGAGCAAGCTCAGTCTGGATATCTTTGGCGGCCTCAATGTCATTGGCGATGTTCTCGTTGAGATAAACAGTCAAGGATGGAGTTTTGATATTGGTAGCAACGTTAATGATTTCCTTCAGTCGAGGGACCCCGAGCGTCACATTCTTACTGGAGACACCAGCATAATGGAAGGTGTTGAGGGTCATTTGTGTCGCAGGTTCTCCGATCGACTGAGCCGCCAACGTTCCACACATCTCGCCTGGGGCCGCTAAGGACTGATTAAATCTAGCTTCAATCTCTCCCAATACCCATTCAAATGCTTCTCGGTTCAAATGGAACTCTTCCAGCACCCTTCGAGTCGCAAAGTTCGACCGCAACAAAATTCGGAACAGTAGCGTGCAGTTCTCCTGAGCAGCGCGACTTAGGGCATCATCTCCACGAACTACGATGAGCCGATCGCACAGATCTTTGACCATTTGAATGATCTCGTGAGGTGGAAGGTCACTAGGTTTCCTGAAATCGATATGGAAGATCTGTTGAGCGTTTTGGATGATTCGTCGAATGTTAACAGGTAACGGTTTGCGGCCATTCCCATCCGTGAATATAAACTTCCGCAATGTTTCACGATCTTCGCATAACTGCTTCCATTCGACATCCAGAATACTCTGCAGGGCCAACGAACTATCATTGAGACCGACTTGCAGGACACCGGGTTTGTAGTCGTGCTTGGGATCGGTGACATCGACCCGAAACTTTCTGTCGAATTTTTCGTTTGACAGTCGAGCACTGTCCAAGTTTTGGTATTCCACCGTGCCTCCATCGACGCCATCTTCACCATATACGAACTGAACGATATCGCCCAACGAGTTCCGAACTGTGCCATCATAAGTGACCATGACATCTTCGAGAGCCTTCAACAGACGACGCTGGATGTAACCGGTCTCGGCGGTCTTGACAGCGGTATCAATCAATCCTTCTCGACCTGCCATAGCATGGAAAAAGAACTCTTGCGGAGTCAGTCCTCGCAAGTAAGAGTTTTCGACAAATCCCCGCGATTCGGGCGAGTAATCATCCTTGGTAAAATGGGGCAGGGTTCGATACTTGAATCCATAGGGAATACGTTTCCCTTCGACGGACTGTTGTCCCACGCATGCCGACATCTGAGAGATGTTGATGAATGAACCTTTGGAGCCTGCTGTGACCATCTGCTTGACGTTGTTGTCATCCTTCAAAGACTGTTCGGCCGACCGACCGGCATTGTCTCGAGCGGTGTTGAGAGCTCTGTTCACCTTCGCTTCAAATGACTCGCGAATCGTCATCCCAGGTTCTGGTTGGAGTTTGTCCTCTTGGGCCAAAGAGATGGTTTCTGAGACCTCCCTCTTGGCTTCCGAGATGAAGTTGGTGATGGCCTCCATCGTAGCCTTGTCAGGGACAGTGTCGCCAATACCGATGCTAAATCCATGATGGAGCAACCAGTAGTTGACAACCATCTGAATGCCCGAGAACAGACCACGAGTAACTTGGGGACCTTTTTCACGAAAAATCACATGAATCAGTCCTCCCTGAGAAGCACCCACACACTTTTTATCTACCACCCCATAGACGATTTCTCCATCCTCGATCCACAAACCCTTGTCGGCGATAGGGATGGATGTCTGATTTTCATCATCTCGAAGCAGATTGATGCCCTTGGGTATGCACATTGATAAGATTTGTTTACCGGTCCATAGTGGTTTGGGCTTCAGGATCGCTGGTGGTGGTACTACTCCATCCCATCCGGGCACCCAGAGTAGAATGTTCTGAACAAAGTCTCGATCCATAAAGCAGTCCCGCAATGTAAACTTCCGTACCCCACAAAGGGTGTCTTGAACGATTCCCATCACTGGCTTGTTGGCTTGGGGCGAAACGATGTTGCGAGGTACCCAGGCAATCTGAGCTAGCTCTGCTCGGGTCTCTTCGGACTGGGGCACGTGCAAGTTCATCTCGTCTCCGTCAAAACTAAATGTGGAATGAGTCAAGAAGTGTTAGCATAACCCTGTACCCTTCCCGAGGGTCGGGTATTGCTTACTCGGCGTTATATGGCGGCTGGATTGACCAAGACATGCATGAGTCAGAATGGGTTGAATTTATTGCGATGAAGGGTCAGGAGAGTCTGATTGCTTACAGTTACAGAGAGATTCAGCCTGAACGTGGAGTAGGGCATTAGTTTGATACGATGTGACACTAAGAAGGGTTTTGGTTTAGGATAGAAGTTGTGAGTTTCTTGGAGATAATGTAGATGGACACTGATATCATTGACAGGATTAATAGAAACATGGGAAGCACTTACTCATACTCATTTTATGTAGTGACGGCTGGCGATTGAACAACACATAATCACCATCCTTCAAATGTCGCTCAACAATCCAGCCATACTGAAGGAAAGTGTCGGCCCGTTTGTTATAGCGCAAATCGATCCGATCTCCTGTATCACGAACCACATATCTTGCGCCGGGATATTCAGTAGGACCGTTTTGGACGAGTTCTTGCAGATAGCTGATATTATAGGGTGTAACTCGCTCTGGATAGGTCAAGTTCCTGGCAATCGAATAGGGTACACCAACCTGATCGAGCTGAAGATTCGGATCACCTGTAATTACCGTTCGCGCCGAGAAATCCACTCGTTTTCCCATCAAGTTCCCTCTCAGCCGTCCTTCTTTTCCTTTCAGACGCGCTCTCAGAGATTTGATCGGTCGACCGGACTTCTGAAGAGCTTGTGGCTGTCCTGGGAGATCGTTGTCCATGTAGGTTGCGATATGCCACTGGACAGATGGAAAGAAAGTGAGTACATGGGTATCTTTCGAGATGTTAAGGATAGCGGGTTCTCTTGGGATGACGATTATTGAGAAATAAATGCTTAAGGAAAGTGTGGCTTCGAACTGACCTGCAGAAGAGTTTCAAACTCTGTGATCACATGGGCAGGAGCTCCTTCGCTTTCAAACTTACGGACAGCCTGATTAGCCTTGATGACCTCGGCAAGCTTGTAAGTCAAATCGTCTTCTCCTCGGGTTGCGCCACCATCCATAGCGATACTTGGTCTAACGGGGGGAGGAGGAATAGGGAGTACGGTGAGAACCATCCACTCTGGTCGAGCTTCTGAAGCATGTAATCCCAGGATTTGCAAATCCTCATCTGATATCCGCCGTAGGATCGCTTGAGCTTGTGAAGCGGGTAGTGGCTTCCGTTCTGTGCCAGCTAAAGTACCAACACCTTCCTCATCTTCCTCGCCCTTTCGTTTGGTGTACTGTAGAAACATCTTGAGGCCTTCTTTCCGAATCTGAGGCTGAAGATGCCCACATCCGCCGTGGCCCTTAGGTTGATCATCGGGGACTGGTTCGTCAGGGTTCTCGGGCTTATCATCATTCACATCGGCTTCACAAATGTTTTTTCCCCTACACAGTTGATGGACAGCGGTAAATCGTTTCTTTGGGTCCTTGATCCGCCTTGCAATCAGCTCCAGAGCAGGGTCGGTAACCTATCGCGATAGTGAAATGAAACCAAAGATCGCAATGATGTCGTGCCAACGCAACACAAGAGGATACGAATCAGTAAGCCTTGCCGAAGGGATTGAAGAGAGGATCGATGACTTACGACATCAGATTTCAGTTTGGAACACTGAACGCAGACGCATTCTAGGATTTTCTTGACGCGATTTAGGAACCCTGAGGTGTGTAGTACAAATCACGCTAAGTGATTGTTTGAGAAATTTAGAATGTGAGTTGAGGATTCTGTTCTCAATCACTGACCAACGTGATAGACCGCACGAGCGAGTTCGATGTGAGCGAAATGACCTGGACACGTCGACATCTGTATAGATAACAAAAAAGGAGCAAATCAGGGACGTGTAGGGATCAGATGATGGGATGTAGGAAAAGTGAGGATGAAGAATGAGCGGAGGACGAGCTTACATCTTCACCACAGGTTTGACATTTCATGTTACGATCGATAGTTCCCATTCTCGGATCCGATAGGCCACCCTTGAAGAGGAGAAACGTGATGAGATTATGAGCATGGCGATGAAAAAGAAAAAAAATCCACAAGCTGAGAATAGAATAGGGTGTGGTGATTATGAGGTCGGGCGTACCACTTTGGGATGGATGCCACCCTCCTCGTAGGTCTCAGGATGTTCGATCTTGGCGACACTGAAGCCTTTGATTTCATCTGGTCCCATGATTCCGAACTGGATGGTTCGAACCCTTCGAGTGGGAGCACTTGAATGGACAAACTGATTAGAATTCATCTTGACGATCGATTATTATTAGTGTTTTGTTTTTGAGGGGGAGGAGAGGGGAGGGATGATGAGTATGTGATGACTGAGTGCTAGTTATCTTGAGGATGATGAGTGATCGATCAATCTTGAGGCGGGATGATGGATATTTTTTTGCGGGGTGGGGTTTTCAGAGCCGAGTTCGCGATCGGTAGGAGGGGGTGGTAGCAGTTGTTTGAGTCTTCCAACCAGGCGGATCTCCGAGTGCAAACCGAGTGGGAATTCAAGTGAGTTGATCGATGAACATTTAGTCGGTATGTCTGTCAGTTCCGGATGTCGTTTGTTGGAGTGAGCTGGTTCTTCGGTCCTGCTTGCTAGGTGGTTTTTGTTTTTGGTTTGGTTGTTGATGTTGGTGGTTGGTGGTCAGAGGGGAGACTGGCTGAACCTGGGGGCTGCCCTCCTCAATCAGCGGCACCGGGTCTTGAGGTCTCTGAACCCGGGGTTTTGGTCACTTTTGGCCGGTTTAGGGCTTCACTCATCCTGGTTTCTGACTCGCAGAACTCTTCATAAACCCATACACTCAACCCATGAACCTCAGCCAAGTTCCAACCAAACAGAAACACTGGCCACTCTCGCTTCAAGTTGAGCAGAACCTGCAGGCTGACTTCCAAAACCTCGCCTATTCCCTCATCTCATCAGCACAACCTTGCAAGTCTGCCATATCATCATCATCCATCATCAGTGCTCAATCTTCGGCACGCAATCAGAACTGTGCTTGCTGCTGTCACATACATATGCCGGCTTCAACACTCATAACGACCTCAAATAACCCCTGCCTAATTCAGACGAACGAACAATCGTCGAGAGTACAGTCATTGACCCATCGCCATCATTTGTGTAGATGCTGCTGGTGTACACAGAAAAAATCAACATACAAGGATGCAATTATGATATATTGAGCAAGGCAGCCTTCAAGGCGTCTTTAATGAAGCACAACTTCAACAGAGCTTCCTCTGAGAGAGAGAGAGAATGAGAATGACTACAATAAAGAGATTAAAAAATGTGCCCTGCAGTGTCTGAATGGACAAGTGGCACAGATGAGTGCCTCAGCTCTGGCTCATTTATTTCCAATACAACATACCTCCGGAAAAAAAACTTAAAGGCCAATCAAGCATCAAACAATCTGGAAAGTTTGTACACAGGATATGCTCACACCAACATGTAGTGCCAATAGAGAAAAAAAAAGTCAAAGGTGATCCAAAACTTACTTATGACATGTCAGCAATATTTTTTGGCCAAAACAAAGATCTTGAAATCGTCTCACTTTTTCTTCAGTACAATAAGGGTTTGTTTCCTCAGTATTGGGTTTTCCATCATGTGGAATGTTATTTTAAATTCTGTAAGATTGTTTCCAATCACACAGAAAAGGACTGTATGCATATTCTGATTGATTGTGGGTTTTGTGGGCCACATGCTTTGTTGGACTCGAACAATTTTTGATTGTGAGAAAAATAGAAAGACATTCATGATTGAGGTTTGAGTTCTTCTATTTAACATTGGAATGTCCACAATTGGCTGAGTTTCAGGATGACTCTGTTTGACAAAAGAATGTTGTGCATTTGCCATACAGATGGAGGATTAACATGACCCCACCAAAATGTGAAGATATCTGGGCTCAGGCACACAGTTTTTCTTATGGGAAGACAGGTTAAGGGGACTGAGTTTCACAGACAACTGACTTATGACAGATGAATGGCTCAAAATGATAATGTTTCAACACAGTGAATACAGTCAGAGTTGGTGTGAGAATAAATAAGCTAGAACTATGGTAGAAGCATGCTACAGCTTATATTAGGATCCAAATTTTTTCTTTTAGGAAAAAATTACACAGTCAAGTTGCATTTTTTTGAATAACCAGATTCTTCACTTCTGAGCCAAATTAATGGGGTAATTTTCTATGACTTGAAACTAAAATAAAGTGAAAGCTGGGTCAGCTGTGTGAGCTAGTAAGTGAGCTGGGTGAAAGACCTGAGGAAAAATACAACAACCTTAAGGCTAAAATGCAATTTTTTTATGTCTATGAACCACTTAAGTTTCATTCATCACAAAAATAAAATGAACCATCATGATATTTGGCCCAATCTAGTTATCTTCAAATTAACAACTTTTCTTGTGGGTATCCCTTCAGGGGGATCATCTGATTATAAAGCAGATTGCATTAATAGCTATGTAGGCTTCACTTGATCTTTTATTGATTTAAAAACACCCACAAGGGATCAAATTCCTATGTCAATTTCATGATTACAGTAGAATAAAGCTGCGGATTTTTGTTTAGTGATTTTTTGCGAGATTTAAGATGCAAAATAAAGTTTCTGGAGGAATCTTTTAATTTCAAACAAACATCATTTTTCGTGAAGTCTCAATAATCTAGGGATTCATTGTTACCAAAAACCAATTCAGTTAACTAAGAGCCAGATTATTCATGCCAATTAATTCAGAGATTTGATTGGTGTAGATTCCCCCCTCAGTACAAGCTCAAAGTTTCTTCTGATGGATATTTTTTTGCATGGAAGGATCAAATATTTCACTGCAGACAACATCATTTGAATTTTACCAAAAATTCATTTTTATCAGCACTCAGGAAATTCTTTCATAGTTTATGATGAAATTATGTGGTTTCTAAATTACATTCATCACATATATCTTGCAATAGCACATAAATATTGAAGAATGGTGAGTAAATTTGGCTATAATATGAGCATGGTGTGAAATGTTTCAACATTCATCAAGGTTAATAGCCGCAATAGCAGTTTTAATTTTTCTTTTCAACTTTTTCCTTGTTTCCATCTTCATAAATCCATTTTCCTCAGATTTATGGTGTAATTTTATCTGAAATTGAATGCAGCAGGGAATAAATGGGATTACTTTTGAACAAAAGCTGACTGTATAGTGACAGAGAAATCATCAAGGGGGAAAAGGAAATTTTTTTGAGTTATTCTCTGCTTTCACACCCTGATCTGGAAATAAAATCATCCCTAGGAGTTGCTGGGCATGTGGAATTCTTGATGTGACATCATGTGCATATGTTTTGTTTTGAGAAATCTACACCTTTAATTCTGAAGTTTAATATGATTGAAGAAATTTGGTGGTAAAGTGAGCCATTGGTCACTGTTGACTGGGTGGCTGATCAGCAATTCAGATATATGAAGCTATAAATGATGCATTTGTTTTTCTACAAAAATATAAGAAAATATGCCATGGCACTGATTCAGCTGGGTTGGATAAGTTTTTTCTGGGCGCTTAGTGTATTCATTGTATAAAATTTTGATGAAAACCAGGCAATATTCTTATTTGAATCTCTTGTCTACCAAATACTCTTTAAGCAAGGCATATCCTCAAATGACAAATTGCTTTGAGACACGAAGCTTAATTTGTGAAAATTTGTGAATCATTATTGGGAAAGATAAATAGATGTCACATAATGCATCAGAGTCCCAGGGATTCAAAAAATACATTTACTACCATTTATATTTCATTGAAATTTTGTTTGGTTAACTCTATCAGAGGTTAGAGAAGATCTGTATGGTTTTGATGATACAAGGTCAGAGAAGAAATTCAATATCAGGCAAGCTAGATAGAAATACAAGATTGTGAAAGAAGATAATTTTCTTTTGAAAATGGACAAGGTAAAATCGGGGCCTTTGAAATGAGGTTTATAAGGTGTGGGGGCTAATTTACATAGAAGGGAAATTCTGGATGAGGATCAAGCAGCGATAAATGAGGGACAAGAATGTCGAAGATAGGAAGGTTCTTTTAGAAATGAACGAGATGCAGCTGCAGCCTTTGAAACTAGGCTTAGAAGGTGTTGAGGCTAGTTTACAGAACAAGAGAAAAATTGGACCAAAATCAAGGGGCTAGAAATGAGCGGCAAGAAAGCCCAAGATGGGGATTTTCAATGAAAAAGATACGATCGCGGCCTTTGAAACTAGGCTTAGAAGGTGTCGGCGCTAGTGTACATGAATAGGAAATTTGCATGAAGATGAAGGAGCAAGAACCGGGGCTATGGTTTGAAATAGGAAAGATAAAACATCATTATGAAGTAGGCATGGTGGAATTGATAGAAAAGAGAAGAGAAGACGTACCAAAAATTCAAGAGTATGAAAGCATTCAAGTCGAGTCATCATCTCGAGTCATCCATGCATCGAGTTGGATGTCCCGGAGCTCTTGTGGAAGTTCTTGAGGGACCAAGATGATCATGGCGTGGCGGTTAGAGTTGACCCGTGCACGACGAGGAGGGCGAGGAAAAGGGAGAAGAGGAAGAAGAGGAGCAGCAGGAGGAGGAGTGGGTGGAAGTGGGAGAGGAGGAAGAGGGAGAGTGGAGTAGTCCAGAGATGAGGTCTTCATGGGAGGAATTGAGGTGAGAGGAAGGGGAGGGGCAGGGGAGGTAGGAGTAAGGCCAAGAGCTTTGTTGACCAAGTCACCGTTGATGTCAATGTCATTGAGGTGTGTGGCGGCGGGGCGACGGATGGCATTGGTGCGAGTCACCTGGGCAGTCGGCCTCAGCCGGCTCGGGAGGTGGAAGGCGGCTGGGAAGGCTGAAAGTGGTGGGCTTCGGGGGAAGGTGCTAACCGCTGCCGGAGCACTGTTTGGGGCTGGCCCCATGGCCGCGTTGCGGCTGGTAATCAAAAAGAAAGAGTAGAATTAAAGAGAGCGAGAGTCCACTCGTGAGTTCGGTGATCAAAGAAGAAGGTCAAGAAATTTAGACATCAACTTACTGGGGGTTGTGGCCCATTGGCCACTCGGCACAAGGAACAACCAAGTTAGGGCTCTAGAAACAAGCGAAAGGAGGAAAGAATCACGGGGAGGATTTAGTCTTGGATCAAGCTGATAAAAGGAAAGGGCAGCAGCAGAAGGAGTAGGAGCAGTGGTAATGGTAGTAGTAGTAGTAGTAGTAGTAGTAGTAGTAGGATGTTTGCTGGGGCAGGGGGTGGTCGGTTGAAGGTATCCACTTACAGTCGTTTGAAAATTTGATGGTGAGGATGAAGTTCATGGAGTGGTGAAGAGAAAGAGGAAGCCGGCAGAAGAGCTGGAAAGAAGGCCTTTATATATTCAAGGATGGGGGGCACGCGTCGCGACTGCTGCTCCACAACAATGGAACACACACTATGTTGAACAGCAGTCATTGGCCAGAAAGGTTCACCACGAGGCTAACCACGATCCCGATGCACTGAATCGCGACGCGCTAGTTGTTTGTCTTCCATTTGTTTGCTGAGCTGAATTCTATCCATGAAAGGGAGCGGTTTATTGTGTTGCAAAATTCCCTACACACCAGTCCATACAACAGGAGTTGGCCGTTGAGGATCCTATTGATTTTCTTCAATTGTATTCCGATCGCCGCCGTAATGAATCAATTTCTATCCGTTGTTCCATACGCGATGCCATTGTTTTTGGCTAAGGAATTTAGACATGAGCCTACTTGGACGAATTTGGCGGATGAATGAGTGATCAAATTTATTTGAATGTTCAAGTCGCAATGCCCTTGTTAATATAATGAGTGACCGGTAGCGCTCAGCGGTTAGCTCTTCAGACAAAGCCAAACTCACCGCTCAGCCCAAGCTGGACAATCAACTCGAAACTTACAACAGGTCGGGCATCACCTGGCTATGTAGCAAGTGTAGTCGAGAGTCGAGCGACTCGCCGTAAAAGAGACATTTGATCATTTGTGGGCGCCCGACCTACGTTCATAAGCAATGTCTTATTCTTTTCCTTACCGGCCGGCATTCACTATGAATATCTTATCGCGCCTGGGTACACCTGGCCGGCCTCCATTTGCAGACATCTTATTTGTCTTTGTTCTTACCGGCTACCGGCCAGCTTTCATTCACAAGAAATACGTTAGGATGCCAGTCGGCCCATATTCACAAAAAAATGGCATCATCGAGCCAGATTCTTACTGACCGGCTCTCCTATGAAATGGCGAGAGACATCTCATCAAGCTTTATCACTACCGGCCGGCCTTTATTGAGAAGAGAAATTTCATCTTGCCCTATTCTTGTAGACTCTTACTAGAAGGCCTACATTTGGAATTGGATATGCTAATCATATTAAATTTTTCTTTACTTAGGCGGGTGAAAGTGAGCGCTTTTACAACATTTAATACGGTTAACAGGGCACTGGTCTGAAACTATGTGAGATTCGTAAATCACTTTTTGCGATCCTAGAAATTCACCCAATTTTGTACGACTGCTTGGTGGGTTGTGTCCGCAAAAAGAATGTGCAGCTTGGTCTTGCAGAAGTTGCTTACGGCATTCCTCTACATCCACTTGATCTATTAGCTCCTCTATCACAGAGCCTCAAATGTCACTAAGTGTATGTCCACCTTGATAACCAACAATAGAATATGATCTTTTCAAGAATTTCCAGCCCTGAATCGCCTGTTGCAATTACAAAAAAGCATCAAAACGTTCTATGTATACTTCGAGGTGTATACAAATGAATACTGCAGCTTTCATGAATACTGCAGCTTTGCGAGAGAGGTTAATCTTGCAGAAGTCACCTTACCAAGCATAATTTGAACTGAGCGATTGGCTCATGTAGCAAGACACCCCGATTGTCGTGTCAAGCTCTGATACCCCGACCAAGCAGTTGCTGAGATCAGGTGTGTTAGAGTAGAGGCAGGAGTCCAGGCAAAATTTGCCACACGGTCAGATTGATTTCCGACTTCGGCTTATTCTCGATGCCATCTCTCATCCAACTCATTCGACTTCACTGAAGTATCTCCGCAATCGTCAGAACCCAACCCGATTGATTGATCCCGTTGACCGGAAATTTAACGAGCCAGATATGAGAAAGTAACTGTCGGGGCGTGTTTGAACATCGATACACCAAGCTCAACGAGACCGTGGATAATGTGCCTGTCTATTCAGAGCTTTGGGAAAATCCAAAGCCTTGGTCTTTGGGGTGAGCGCTCACGTATGATTGGGTCAAGTCGCAAGACAAAACCGCTGGCAGCTTAGAATCGTGAAGCTGATGTCGAAGTAGTATCCCATTGCACTTGTGAACTCCTATACGAGTGCTTAGACAATAGCAACAACCTTGCCTTGTTGGACGCGAGTAGAAGCTGACAAATACTCCTTTATTTCACAGAAGAAAATTGTAAGAGCTGTTGTCGCGACTAGTCGGTGTGCTCGCGATATATCACTTGGGCGCTGGGCCATGTCCCAGCGAGTGAAAATCTTGTGTCCTTTTTAGCGGAAACAGGGAAGTTTTTGAATATGTTAACTGTTCCGTGTTTTTCACTGCCTGCATAGAAACTCTTCTACCCAGTTATATGGGAATGACCGTGAGCTTTAATCTGGCGATCGTTGGCTAGATATTGACTAACAAAGTCGAGTCGCATTGAATTTGAAGTCGCTTTTGCTGCCCCAAAGGTTGAGGAGACCTAAGAGGCTGAATTGAGGAAGTCCAACACAATTGTAGCCTCTGTCAAGTTTGGATATTGATCAGAGAATGTGCGTCGGCAATTTTTTGGGGGATCGCTCTAGAAGGCTGTGTTTTTACAGTTGGGGAGTCTTGAAGTTAGCGCGTGCAGGCGCGTGCGACGACTGCATATGCATGTGCCACATATGCAATATCACAACCAATAGCAGCACTCCTCGAACATTTTCCCTGAAGTGAACTTATTTCTCTTTATGATATGTAGCTAAATCATGTTCTCGAAAAAGGTTGAAGTGGATCATAAAGGTGGATAAGGATGCCTTTCCTTATCCAGAAGAATTGGACAATTCTTGGATTAATGACATATGATGAATTTTCTCCAACTCTGGTCTATTGAAAGTTGAAACACACCCGTGATCGATCATAGTTGAATGTGTGCTCCTGAAATCTACAAACTGATCCGCCAAACTATTATAAATTTAATTCTTCGAATCAAGAAAGATTCGTGATAGCTGAGTTGCTCGTTTGATAACATCCATTTGTGACAATGTTTTCCAAAAGTTCTCAACTAAAGAAGGATTTTCATAGAATTGGCCCACCTCCACTGTAGAAAACACCAATCATTTATAAATATCTGTTGCTCAAGCTATGAAATTAGACCTAGTAATGTTGAGATTGAAACAATGCAGTCCATATCTTTGCGATTTTATTGAAATTTTGGTCGATCATGCCGGATTATAAAGGAGATCCATTTGGTTTTAATGATACAAGATTAAGGAAGGAGGTAAATTTTACATCGGAGAGGCTAGCTAGGAATACATCAAGAATTTACAAGATGGAAATCTTCTGTTGTAAATTGATAAGGTACAATTGAGGCCTTTGAAACTAGGCTGAGAAGGTGTCAAGGCTAATTTATATAGAAAGGAAGTTTTAGGTAAAGATCAAGAGGCTGGGAATGAATGAAAATAACTTAAAAGTTGGGAAATTTCTTGGCTACATGGAGAAGATACAATCACAGCCTTTGAAACTAGGCTTAGAAGGTGTTGAGGCTAGTTTACAGAACAAGAGAAGAATTGGACCAAGATCAAGAGGCTAGAAATGAGCGGCAAGAAAGTCCAAGATGGGAATCTTCAATGGAAAAGATAGGATCTCGGCCTTTGAAACTAGGCTTAGAAGGTGTCGGCGCTAGTGTACATGAATAGGAAATTTTGATGAAGATGCAGGAGCAAGAAACAGGGCTACATTTTGAAACAGGAAAGATAGAACATGAGTATGAATTGCGCATGGTGGAATTGATAGAAAAGAGAAGGGAAGACTTACCAAAAATTTGAGAGTATGAAAGCATTCAAGTTGAGTCATCATCATGAGTCATCCATGCATCGAGTTGGATGTCCCGAAGCTCTTGTGGAAGTTCTTGAGGGACCAAGATGATCATGGCGTGGCGGTTAGAGTTGACTCGTGCACGGCGAGGGGGACGAGGGAAAGGGAGAAGAGGAAGAAGAGGAGCAGCAGGAGGAGGAGTGGGTGGAAGTGGGAGAGGAGGAAGAGGGAGAGTGGAGTAGTCTACAGATGAGGTCTTCATGGGAGGAATTGAGGCGAGAGGGAGGGGAGGGGCAGGGGAGGTAGGAGTCAGGCCGAGAGCTTTGTTGACCAAGTCACCGTTGATGTCAATGTCATTGAGGTGTGTGGCCACGGGGCGACGGATGGCATTGCTGCGAGTCACCTGGGCAGTCGGCCTCAGCCGGCTCGGAAGGTGGAAAGGGGGGCTGGCAGCTGGGAAGGCTGAAAGTGGAGGGCTTCGGGGGAAGGTGCTAACCACTGCCGGAGCACTGTTTGGGGGGGCCGGCCGCACGACCGCGTGGCGGCTGGTAATCATAAAGAAAGAGTTGGATTAAAGAGAGAGAGATTCTACTAGTGAGTTCGGCGATCAAAGAAAACAGTTCAAGAGATTCAAACATCAACGTACTTGGGGTTGTGGCCCATTGGGCACTTGGCGCGAGGAACAGCCAAGTGAGGGCTCTGGAAAGAATCGGAAGGAGGAAAGAATCATGAGGAGGATTTAGTAATGGATGAAGCCAATGAAGGGAAGGGGAAGCAGCATTAGCAGTAGTAGGAGCAGTGGAATTATTAGTTGTAGTTGTAGTTGTAGTAGTAGTAGTAGGATATGTGCTGGGGGAGGGGGGAGGGGGATGTCGGCTCAAGTTTTTCACTTACAGTCGTTTGAATATTTG